GGACTCGATCCCTGGACTCTGGGACCATGACCTGAGCCAAAGGTAGTTGCTTACCCAACTGAGCCATCCAGACGCCCCTAACCTTGCTTTTAATTGTATTCATTACAAAATATCTTGATGATTTGTTTAAAAAAAAAAGTAAGTGGGATAAAACACTGGAAATTTCTGTTTTCAGTTAAAGCAGAACTTATATTCTAATTCAACATGTTGGTCCCACAGTTATACTTCATGTAAGATAAGTTAAATGTAGCTAATCCCTTTGAATGATGCCTGAATATCTATTTCCTAGAAAAATCTATGAGTAATTTTCTCAGGCTTAACTGATGGATCCTCAAGATCCATTCAATTTTTAATCAAAATTTAGGATTTTAATCCCTTGAATCTTTTTTCTTTTACACAAAGGAATGATATACTTACTCTGGGCTAGAACAATGTCCACTAGTCTAGCACTTTGGAATTATGTTGCTGCTCCTAGACAGGCTTAAAAAGTAATAGGAAAGGCCAAGTTTGGGAACTCAACCAATCTCTTATCTTTTGCAGGAAATCTCAAAGTTCCTGGCTGAATTATTGAGAGTTCTTTGAAGCCAATGAGTTTCAGTGTTAGGAATGAGAGCCTCTAAGAGTGAGAAAGTGGATGGGCAAGGCTAATATGGAAATTCACGAAATAGGCCTTAGTTTCAGTCTGCACATTCTCTAATCTGAAATAGACTCCTCTATATTTGCTAGGTGATTGACTCTCAGGGACAAAAAGTTGGAGCTTCCAAAAGTACACTTGAGTTTTTAAATGGTAATCCACTGAGGCAGGAGCTTTAGATTGCCTTCATAGTATGAGGAATGATTTTTTTTTCCTATTCCAGGCACAATCTTTGGGCCACAAGTTAGTCTATAGTTTTATTAAGTACCAATTATTTGTCAAGATTATTAGACACTGTGTGGGTAGAAGGAGAAGTTGGAGAAGGGGAGACTAAAATGACTAAGACATAGTCCTAAGACTCAGATCCAAATACCTTACAATTTAGTGGGTGCAAAATATAGTGCGACTATATTTAGAATTTTTGTTCCCATGGAACTTTGATTAGTTTGAAGTCAAGGGGGGTGAAGGGCTTTATTATGTCTATTTAAAGATTTAACAGTTCCTGAGAATCTCATAGATTCAGTCTTGCGCCAGCTAACACAGTGGGAAGTAAAGATCTTTGCTTTGAGTTGGTAGTATATGGATGTCTTTAAGAGCACTGGGTATAGGGGCACCTGGGTGGCTCAGTTGGTTAAGCATCTTCCTTCGGCTCACGTCATGATCCCAAAGTCCTCGGCTGGAGCCAAGCAAAAGTCCTCGGCTGGAGCCAAGCATCGGGCTCCCTGCTCAGCAGGGAGCCTGTTTCTCCCCCTCCCACTCCCCTACTTGTGTTCTCTCTCTCCCTGTCTCTCTATCTGTGTCAAAGAAATAAAATCTTAAAAAAAAAAAAAAGAATGACGGATTCTTGGTTTCGGCTCAGGTCATGATCATGTTGTCCTGCCACATCAGGTTCCAAGTTCAGCAGGGAGTCAGCTTGAGAATTCTTTCTTCCCCTTTCCCTCTGCCCCTTTCCTGTCTTTCTCTCTCCCTCTCAAATAAATAAATCAATCTTAAAAAAAAAAAAAAAAAAGGAGTACTAGGTTTAAATCCAGATCTGCAGTTTAATACCTGATGTGACTTTGGATGGTCCTCTCATTTATACAAAGAGGATAACAGCAACATCTCATTGAGCTAATATGTGAGTTAAATACACATACATGTAAAAACATTAACATTGACACAAATTAGATGATCCATGAATAGAAGTCATTATCATTATTATTACTACAGTGTCCCTGGAGAGATAGAACCCATAGGGAAAGGACTTGAAAACACAGATAATAACAAGCAAGTGATAACATACCAATGAATACCAGACGAACAGCTGTATGTTTTACAGCAATAAAATAACCTGCAAGCAAATCCAAAACATGTTTCATTACTCCCAAACCCTATTGCACAATCTCAGGTGAGAGTCCAGATTATTCCAGACTAAAGCCATGAATTTTTTGAAATTCAGCACTTAAGATCTAAAAGTAAACAAAAGATTGGGCAAGGTCCTAGAGAGAAAAGGCAGTTTTTGTGGTGGGGCCTGGTTTATACTTAGCGATTATAAATTTCCTTTGACAGCTTTTAGTGGGAGTGACTGTCTTGCAAAATTCCAACAAAGAAATGTTTTCTGGACAGTCTTGTTTGTCTTTGGAGTAGGTCACCACTTGCATTAATTTTAGAGGACTCCGCCCCAGCTTTTATTTTTCCCAGATGTCTGATGTCTAAAACTTTATAGGTTATTTACTTTTGCTTAGTAATCTTTTTTCTTCCCCAGTTGAAAGGCAAATATCCCTGGTGGAAGAGTCAAGAGCCAACACTATAGTGCTTAACTCCTATGCCTGCCCTCACTTTATACTGTGGGTATGTTGATACACAACCTAACCGTGATTCTAGACTGTTGTGTATGGCTCTCCACCTCTTGTAATTATATGTAGTCTCCAATCTTGTTTGTAAATTCCAGAGCAGAAATTATGTCAAAAGATTTTGTAATATACTGTTTTACCTTAACTTTATCATCCCCTACCTGAAACCTGTATAGCACAATTCAACATCAAAAGTAGGTGAATGGTAAAGAGTAAATTCTTATTATTGATTATTATGACCTGGTTTCCCTTTCCATAATCCTGAACTGTAATGTGTTCTCTAGTATTTTCATAACTAGAAATTATGGAGCAGACTGTGATTACAGCAGACAGTTCCAAATCTTCTGGAACCATTTCAAAAGGCAACATAAGACTACAAATTAGGAAGGGAAAGAAAAAAAAAAAAAAAACAACCCAGAATCTCTGAACAATCTCAGAAACTGATCCTTACTCACCAAGAAGCTTAGATAAAGCTGAACAGACTTGTTCAAAAAGAGTCTTGTTCTCTTCCTGCTTCAAACATCCAGTAAAATTTAGCCTCACTTTGGGTGAATCTGTAGCAAAGCCTACTCATAAGACATTTCAATATCTTGCTTGGTCTTTCAGTACTCAAAAACACATGGAAATGAGTCATTGGCATGGAAAGCTGCTCTACAGAATACTCTAAAACTCTAAAACAATCAGTTTGTTGGGGCGCCTGGGTGGCTCAGTTGTTAAGTGTCTGCCTTCAGCTTGGAAAAGCAGGCTTCTTGCTGAGTGGTAAGCCTGATCCCAGGACACTGGGATCAGGCTTACCACTCAGCAAGAAGCCAGCTTTTCCCTCTCCCACTCCCCCTGCTTGTGTCCCCTCTCTTGCTGTCTCTGTCAGCTAAATAAATACAAATCTTTAAAAAAAAATTTAGTTTGCTTTTTCTTCAAATATTAAAAAAAATTTTAAGTAAACTTTACGCCTAATATGGGGCTCACAGTTACAACCCCAACATCAAGAGTCACATGCTCTACTGAATAAGCCAACCAGGCTTCCCAAATCCACAGGATTTCCATCTACTAAATTTGAATCTAGACTACCAACAGATTTATTTCCCTAATATTTCAGTCTAATTTTTTTGTCTGTTTTTGTGAGTTTAGGGTTTGGCAAAAACCCCGACTCCGAGTTTAGGGTTTAGGGTTTGGCAAAAAACACATCAACAAAAAACAAGTCATTTTTCATTTCTACTAAATACTGATTTTTGAGAAAATACATTCAAGGAAAAGGGAAAGAAGAATTGCTAGGGAGGCCTTTATAGCTTTTAACTTGAGTTAGTGAAAAAAAAAGTGGAGCTTAGGGAGTGCAAGTGGGGAGTCCTCAAAATAAAAAGCAGGAGCTACTTTTGTGTTTTGTGGGAAAGGAAACAGAAATGCTGGATTAGGAGCAAGGCTCACCTAGGAACTGGGTTATCAGGACTCAAATCACAGCACTTTCCAAAAATCTGAAAATGAAATGGGGTAGGGTTTTCTCATTCTTGCCCAAGGTGAGGTATGTGGGACCTGCGTTTACCGTGAGTAAATTAATTCTGTGAGTATTTACTGCTAATATGTAAGGGGGTACCTTATCAGGTATGGGGTAAGATAGAAGGGAGGGGGTGAAAACAAGTTCAAAGACAAAAGGGATTGGCCCAAGTGTACTAGTAAGTTTCGGAGAGAGAACCAGGTTTCCAAATCAATGTAGTTGGCAGTACAAGCTGTCTGAGAGGCCGTAGTAAGACAACGAAGACTCCAGGGTTAAACTCTTCCATTGAGGAAGCATATACTTCAGGGGCTGTATGAGAGCTTCTCAGAAGACGCAAGATTCGGGTATTTTCATAGACTGGAGCAAAAACCCTTACCTCGTGGCTTAGGAAATCATGAAACACTCTAAAAATACGCTTAAAACACCCCGAGGTCGGGGCGCCTGGGTGGCTCAGTTGGTTAGGCAACTGTATTCAGCTCAGGTCATGATTCTGGAGTCCCGGGATCGAGTCCCACATCGGGCTCCCTGCTCAGCAGGGAGTCTGCTTCTCCCACTGACCTCTCTCCTCTCATGCTCTCTCTCATGCTCTCTCTTAAAAAAAAAAAAAAAGAAAAGAAAGAAAACACCCCGAGGTAAGTTCATTAACGATAACCAAAATTGACTTTAGAAAGAATACAATTTGATTTTTTCTCATTTTCCTACTGCAAATTACAAATAATGTAATGAGAAGAAACATTAGTGACTGAATTTAAAAAAGACGCGGGAGGCGAAGAGAGTAAAGTGGGTTTAGAGAAAGAACAAGGAGACGGGTCCGAATTCGTAGCACCGACAGCCCCACTTCCACCCGGATCCAGGGAGAGAGAGTTCGCCCCTGGCCCCCGGAGCCAGGCCCCACCTCAGCGCTCCCACGGGATCCTCGCTCTAGCCCCGCCTCCGTCCGGCTCAGCTCCATCCCGCTCCGGTAGCCCGGCGCCTCTGCGGCGAGTAAGGGAGAAAGAGAGGCGGGACTTCCGGTGTTTGAAAAACTTCCGGCGGGAACCGGAAGATGCGGTCACACACACAGAATCCCAGGCCTTCTGACTCGCCGGGCGGGAAGGTGAGCTGAGCGTCCGCCTTGGCGGAGTTCCTGAGTGCTCGCGTGAGCCCGGAGATCGGGCTGCGGTCTTTCTGGGACCATTTAAAAAGTTCGGAGCGCTCATTTGGGAAATAACATCCCTTTTTAAAGAGAAGTTTCATTACATTTAACGGTCTGCGGTCTCTATCTTTCATCCTACACCCGGAAAACCCCTCCTAGCTGCCGCGTGTCACCTGGCGCATCTTCTCAAATTTCAGCTCTTAGCGCGTAGGGGCAGACATGGGAAAACCCAGGCAAACCTAGATTGTTGCTGTGTCTCAAGTCCTCAGAGATGGGGGAGGAAGCACCCTTTTCACTAGCACATCATGGCCTTGTCCGCATCAGCGGCATCCTCAGCAGTGTGTCTGGCATATAGGAGGCGCTGAATAACTTCAGGAAAGGAATGAATGAATGGGAACTCTCTAGGCAACTTTCCTCGAGCCTCCCACGCGCCAGAATGTTGTTAATATAATGTTTGTGGAATGGGAAGCAAGCCTAGTCTTGCTGTTTGGGGCTTTGGGTTCTAGATACATAACTAGAACATAGGTTTCCCCTTTGAGTAAACCATTGCACCTCGCTGAATCTCAGGCTTCTAATTCATTTAAAAACAAAACAAAACTATCTCATTTCTGAGGCTCTTTCCAGGTGTATTTATTTTTATTATGGATTATGGATTTTTATTTTTATTATTATGGATTATTATGGATGGATGTTTGCTGACATTCCACCACTCCTTTTCGTACTCAGGGAAGCTTATTTAGGTGCCTCTTAAAAAGTTGTTCCCTCTGCTCTTAAAATTCTAATTGTGGTTTTCCCAATTTTAATGTAATATTTATGTGCCTGCAGGTTTCTTCAACCCCCCCATCGCTTGATTTTTACTTGCCCTAGTTTAGTGCCTCCTCCCTTAGTAATATCACAGCAACTGATTTTGAATATACTCATATGTCCGCAGAGAAAAGACAACTTTGAAAATGAAAAATCTCAAGTCACTAAGAATTGGAATGTTCCGTACCATCACCCTTTCAAAAGAAAAAAAGAGTGTGTGTGTGCTATTGCCTAAACTCTTAGGCAGTATAATAGTTTTTTGGGGAAGATGTGTACTCCTTTATACTCCATGTTGTATATATTCTTACGTTCATTTAGTAAATAGTTATAGAGCAGCTAATAGTTAAGTGCTAAGCTCTGTGTTATGCAGAAGTGATTAAGGCAAATGTGGTTTCTTTCTTCATGGTATTTACAGCCATGAAGTAAACATGGGGGATGCAGACAATAAACAAGGATAATTACAGATTGTGCTTTATATAGTACTGTATGAAGGAAGTAAATAGGGTCCTATAATAATATTATATCTGGGAGACCCATTTTAGGTCTGAAATACTGAGCTCTAAGAGATGAGAAAGAGCCAGCCTATTGATGAGCAGGCAGAGTGAACCTGAGATGGCAAAGAATCATGCTTATTACAGTGACTGAAACAAAGTCATGACTGTGGCTGAAAAGCTGCAGCACATGGTAAATGTGGTTAGAAAGGTAGGCAGGGGTTAAAATACCTGTAGGGTATTTTAAAGGCCATGGTAAAAAATAGGATTTGATTCTAAGTGAAGAATGGAGTGTGAAGTCACTGAATGGTTTTTAAGCATTTTCTAAATGATCTTTTGGTTGATATGTGGAGAATGGGTAGTGAGGCTATTAGATATTGGGAACTAAAGACACACTGGAGATCATAGAAATTGAACCTGTATTTTGGTGGAAGAATTTATGTTATTTACTAGTAGACTAGTTGTGGGAGGTGAAAGAGAAAAAAGATTTCAAGACTTTGGCTTGCAAATGAAACTTTAGAGGATGGTAGATGTATCCGGTATCTCGGTTATGGAGATGCGTATACATATGGCAGAACTTACCAAGTTTGTACATTTTAAGCATGTACAATTTACTGTATATCAGTTATAGTTCAATGAAGTTGTTAAAAATTTTCTAAGGTTCTGGCTTAGCCGTCCATTTAGGTGGATGATGGTGCCATTTACAGAGATGGGAAAGATGAATAGGAATGTGTTTTAAAACAAGAAATGGTTATCAAGATTTCATTGTGGATATGTTAAATCTTAGGTAATTTTGAGGCATCTGCATAGTTTCATAGGCAGTATGAACAGTTTTTTTTTTTTTTTAAAGATTTTATTTATTTATTTGACAGAGAGAGATCCCAAGTAGAGAGGCAGGCAGAGAGAGAGAGAGAGAGAGGGAAGCAGGCTCCCTGCTGAGCAGAGAGCCCGATGCGGGACTTGATCCCAGGATCCTGAGATCATGACCTGAGCCGAAGGCAGCGGCTTAACCCACTGAGCCACCCAGGCGCCCATGAACAGTTTATTATGTAAATCTGTATCTTAGGCAAGATTTGGGGTGGAGGTATTAGGATTGTTATTAAGTAGGTGATAACAGATGTTTAAAACCCTGGAAATGGATGGAATTTTGTTAATCTAACAAATCCTGTGATATAAAGAAAGGAAACAGGGGAGGAGTAGAGATGAAGAAACTACTCCCAAGAACATTGGTTTTTAAACTGGAATATACCTGGCATAGGCAGTTTTTAAGCAATAATTTCTAGTCCTTAGTTTCTGTATATACTCTTTCTAAAACCGATTTGTCTGAAATTGACTTATGTGCTCATGCACATTCTCTTCTCCCACCTCCCATTTTTTTTTTTTTTTTTTTCCAAAAACACACATGCATGTGTATGAGGGGAGGGTAGAGGCAGCCGGGAGAGGGAGAGAGCGAATCTTAAGTGCAGAACCCACTACAAGGCTGGATCTCACAACCCTGAGATCATGATCTGAGCCAAAATCAGAATCTGAAGCTGAATTGACTGGGCCACCCAGGTACTCCCCCCACCACCTCCCTTTTCAAACTCATATTTATCTACTTGTCAAAAGGCAAGGTGACATCTTACTCATCTTTCAATGGTAACATTGCTTCCAGGGTGCCTAATTAAGGGGCATTTGGAAGTGTTTGTTTCAGGAAAGTCTTTAGTGGTTAATCAAAAATTTTTGAGACTGCCAAGGGTTTGTCTACTCCTATTTTAAACCCATTTCTATTAAGGATGAAGTATGGAGTGAGAATTGGTGCATGGTGGTCTGTAAGGGAATGTTTTGAATTCAGGTATATTGTAGAATGGGGTGATAGGAGTAGAAGATTTGGTTGGGTTGTTTGTTAGGAAACTTAGTATGTTCAGGTTTTTATTTTGGGGCTGGTCAGATTGTCCAGCGAAGAGCCTTTGCATTCTCCCTGAAGAGTAAGGATTTGACTAGGAGTTTAGTGGGAGAAGAGGACTGGAGGGTGGGGGTCGGGGAAGGGTCCTCTGTTTTTAGCATTCAGTCTGTATGGTTCCCATGCCCACGACTGTACTTGTTGTCCTCAAGTCTAGAAACTCTGTTTTATCCTCTCCAGTGAATAAACCTCCACATGTTTTCTGGGGCAGTTGCTTAATAGCATGAAGTAGAGTAGGGCCTGTAAAGATACTTCTTTGCCTCAGGTAGCTTACATCAGCCCTTAATCCCTTCATCCATAGTTCCAAGGTATTAGGTACTGCTTTTTGTGATTTTTTTGAGGAAATCCATTTGCTTCTGAAAAGCTCCCACTGCAGACTTGGAATTTTAATTTTCATATAGTGAAATCTGTCTTTTTGGCTTCCAAAATTTTGAGTTATGCCTAGGAAAACTTACTCTCCCACCTCTACTCCAAATTATGAAAATGATCATCTTTATTTTTGGTAGTACTTTTATTGTTTTATTTTGTACATTTTAAGTCATTAGTTGGTGTGGAATATATTTTTGTTCAAGGTGTAGCTGTAGGACTTAAATACTCGTTTTCCTCCAGAGGGATAGCTTGTTGTCTTAATACCAGTTGTTGAATAATTTATTTCTGCCCTGATTTGAAATGCTACCCTATCATACACTAACTTTCTCTGTTTGCATTTTTGTTTTATTGTGGTAAGTTACATCTGATAAAGAAATCAAAAATTACCCATTCCTTTATGATCAATATCTAGAAGCACTTATTTGAGGAAGGATAACCTACATAAACATAAAATGCCGCAAAGGGGGGTGAAGGAAAAGATGGAAGATTATCCTGTCTGCTTCCTGGAAACACTTTTCCTTTTGTTCTCCTGCTTTATTCTGTGTGCTCTCTTGGCTAATGGTTCTACAGTTGTTGGAGTTGAGCTATAGAACCGAGGGCACATGTTCTATTTTTTTGAGAACTCTTTGGTATTTCTGTGAGAAATTCCTTTCTCCTCTGAGTGGAAGTTAGAACCAGAGGCATTATAACATATGACTTGTTTAGAAACTTTTTTAAAGGGTTCCAAGCATGCCGGAGTCTCATGTAGTTTTTGTGGTTTGACATACACTCTTAGGTAATAAAATTTATTAGCTAAAGTGAATTTGCTTACTTCCTGTATTACAGGATGTCTCTGGTTATTTGTCTGAATTTCTTAAAAAGCTAGGCCTTTGAATTTGGTAAATATTTTCTAGTGACAGTTGTGATTAATTTATTTTTTTATTTTCAAATGTCTTACTTAAATAGTGTAAATTTTACTATAAGGGAATGGATTATCTTGTTTCAGGAATAATCTGGCTGCTTATGCAGTCTGTTAACATTGTTTATTTGATTGTCAACTTTGTAGAAAGGCCTTTCTTTTATATTGTGAGAAGATACAGAAGTGGGGAAATACTTCTTACAGTTTACTAAAGGATCTTATAATTTGCTGACTGATGAGCCATTTAATAGCATTGGTGGTATATGCAAGCTTATAACTCTAAAGAAACTAAAAATTGTCATCCTGTTGGAGCTTATATCTTTCTGAAGATGGTACATACTCGTCAGGCTCTTAAACTATCCGAAGGCTGTTAGCTGCTCTTAAAGCTGACAGTGTGGGAGGGGAAGCCAGTGTTCAGAGTTTTGAATACTTCTCATTTCTTTTTCCCCATGGCATTTTTAAACAGCAGAGCTATTGGAGCATTAGTTTTGAATGGCACATCACTTGGTAGACAACATAAGTGATCAGTCATTCAAGTGATTCACATCATTCTGATTTTATGTTCTGTGTCTTCCAGATGTCATCGTTGCCAAGAAGAGCAAAAGCAAAGGTCCAGACTGCGGTATCCAAAGATGAATTCTCTTCCTTGTCTGAATTGTAAGCATTTGGTTTCAAATGGGGTTAGGAGAATGATGTATATTTTAAGGAGGAATGTGTTTTGTTACTATTGTAGGTTTTTGGGTTGAAGAAGGCTGTGTCTGTTTCATTCATTCATGAGACAATGTTTATTGAATTCTTGTTGCGTCTCAGGCTCTGTTTCAGTGTTGGTGTTAAAGTATTAACTAGGAGAGGGAAAGTAACCCACTAAATATGTAACATGATATATACACTAGCATGTAGGGTCCATGAAAGCAGAGAGTTTTCTATTGCTTCAGAGAAGGGTTTCCCAAACTCAGCACTACTGATAAGATAATTCTTTGCTGTGGAGACTGTCCTTTGCACTGCAGAATGTTTAGCAGCATCCCTGGTCTCCATCAACTAGATGCCAGTCACATCTCCCTAGTTATGACAACCAAAAATGTTTCTAGACATGGCCAGATAGTCCTCATGGGGGCAGAATTGTCGACAGTTGAGAACCTCTGCCTTAGAGCACCGTAGTGTTTGTGCCCTGAAGATATTTGTTAAATAAGTGACTCTAAAGGAACATAAAACAGGGCAAGAGAAAGCATGGTCAGTGGTTCTGGGCAGGGGACATCTTGGATATAGTATTCAGTAAAGTTCTTTTGGAGGATGTGGCAAGAGATCTAATTGAAATTTGGAAGTACAACTTGTAAAGATCTGGGGATGGGGTTCCAAGCAGAGGGAGCAGCAAGTGCAAAGCCCCTATGGCAGGAACAAGCTCTGTGTGTTCAGGGAACAGTAAGACCAGTGGCCAGACAAGAGTCACCAAGGCAGAGAGTGATTGGAAATGAGATTGGAATGGGCAGGACCTAATAGGCCATGACAGAGTGTTATGGTCTTATTTGAAGTACTGTAACTGAACCAACATGAGTTTGCTCCTTGGGGAGTCACAGGTGCACCAGGTGGAGTTGTCACATAAAGTAAACTTTATTTGCAGCAAATAAAGAGATCACAGGGAATAGCTTTCAAAGCTTCCAAAGAGAGTGAATGGGTACCTTTTGTTAAGGGTTAATAGGGAAGCCTTGTCATCTGTGTAGAGGCAGGCACCAAGTCACGAGTGTACCTTAAGGAATCATGCCTGTATGTACATCATATGTCATGTAAATAAGGCTGAGCCTCCTCTTTGGGCAGAGATTTTAGTATTATGATGAGGTAAAGGTAATTGCCAGTCATTCCAGGGGTTGCTCTGATGAGGGAGCAGGAGGCTGGCTGAAGACAAAGCAAAAGCTGGCACCTTGCACCCCCTCTCCACCCGGTCCCCTCGGTAACGTGTGTGACTTTCCTCAGGCACCCCTGACTGCCATAAACGAGAAACAAATAGTTAACTTGCAGAGATCACAATCCTGCAAGACAGAGTCTCCCGTGGTTTACAAATGTCCTAGAGATCTACAAAGAAGTTACCTTATCAATAGCACAATTTCCAGAGGCAAATAACTCAGTTCCTCAAACCCTAATGTCACCCTCCCCTCCATAAACAAAACTGAAGGAGGCTGAGGTAGAAGGAAACATAAGTATAGTTAAATTTCTTCTAACCCAAATCTCACTAACAAAGACGCTTGATAACAGAAATGTGATTGGCTTGCCAAAAGACAACATTGATCAAGCCGCAAGGCCTCTGGTATCCTGCAAGGCCTCCGGTATCCCGGCACCTTGTAGGCCCTCTTTAGCATATGAAAGCTCCGTTGAAACCTCCCTTCCCCTCACCTTCCCCCAACCGCAAGGTACACAACCTGCCGACTCTCACAACCCGGGGCAGCAGCTCTTCCTGCCCAAGGGTCCTGTCCCCGTGCTTTAATAAACCACCATTTTGCACCAAAGATGTCTCAAGAATTCTTTCTGGGTCATCGGCTCCGGACCTCAGCCCACCGAACCTTACCTAGATTCTAGAACTTCATCAGCTCCAAGCTTCATTTGTGCAGGTGTGAGTCAGAGGTTTAGCTCAAAGGGTCTGAGTGGTCTGGGCCAGTGAGAGGTCTGGTCAGGGCTGTTGCCATCACCTGAAGAGTGGTTTTCGGTTTTATTTGCCTGAATTAAGAGGTAAGCTGGAAAGAGGAGCTTAAGGAAAAATGTGAACAAAGCATATGGGCAATAAGGATCAGGTGTTGGGATCTAGCTGGTGACAGTAGGTTGGAAAGCCATCGGAACACTTGGGGCAGGGATGTGTCATGCTCTGGTTTACATTTGTAAAAGATCATTCTGGTTTCTTGCTGGAAAACAGACCATAGGGGAGCAAGAATGGAAGCAGGGGGTCAGTTAAGGAGATTGCTGTAGAAGCCTAGGATCCTAGAAGTGAAAGTGGGGGAAAGTAGTCTAATTTGGCATATATATTGAAGATAAAGAAGACAAGATATGCTGGGATTAGATTTGGGGTGTGAAGGAAAGACAGGAATTTGGGGAAGACTGGAAGAGGATCAGGTATGAGGGTAGTAAAATCAGGGGTTCTGTTTTGGACTTGGTAAGTTTGAGATGATTGTGAGGCATTCAATGAAGGTAGATATACAAGTCTTGAGTTCAGGTCAAGTAGGAAATAGAAAATTGAGATTCCTTTCTATTCCACTATCAAATAAGACTAGGTCATCTAGTAGGAGAGCTTAGAAGAGTGCTGAGGAATGAGTCTTAGAGGAGCCCATCATTGAAAAGTTGGGGAGAGGAAGAGCAGTAAGCAAAGGGACAAGGAGGAGCTAGAGAAGCTGCCAGGGAGGTAGGAGGAAAACCAGGGGAGTGAAGACCTTGGAAAGACCTGGAAGGTGTGAAGGATGTGTCATAAGTGAGGGCCAGATGCCAGTAATAGGTCAGGTATGATTAGTGGGAGATGACCAGCTGTCTTAAAACTTCCTCATATATAATAAAATAATACCTATTCTTAGGTTTTTCTTTCTGAAACCTGAAAGCCCTTTTGTGTCTGTCATGTGACTTTCACAGTGGTCCCCTACATTGTGAAAGTCACATGACAGACACAAAAGGGCTTTCAGGTATCAGAAACTGGGGTTCGTACTCATGTTGGATGGAACTGAGGTGGAATAAAGTCTTAGTTTGGAGATAGTATGAGCAGAATCCTGGTTTTCTGTTTCCTTAGTTTTCTAATTCTCCTTCCTTTCAATGCCACTGCTATCTGTTATGGGGGTTTAAATGATTTTGTTTGTTTTTGCCTACTCTTAGGCTTTATTTTGCATCCGCTTCTGAAGAGAACTCCCTGGGGGGAGAGGGGGAGAACTATCAGTGGCCTGACCTAGGAGAGCATAATTTAGAAGAAGTCATTTAATCAAGTTTTTGCCTCCAGGCAGAACTTGAACCCTTCAGAAAGCCAGATATTCCTATTTACTAGCCTTAGTGAGGGAAGTGGTTGTCCTTCCCACCAACACTGACCTTTTACATTGGGGTAGACATAGATTTAAGTGGGTTGGCAGGAGCATGATGTTCCTTCACCAGAGTGCACGTGGCTGTTCTTCCTCTGCTGTTGCTGTGAGTTTGATTATTCATGGGTTGTTAGAAAGTACTGCAGCTGCACCTGATCCCATCCAACCAGCAAACAAATCCATTCTATGAAAGGGAAAAACGAATAATTGAAGCATTTGGAAGGGTCTTAGTGCTGGCTTTTTATGTAATTTAGGGTGTTTCCTAGCACCATTTCCCATTTCTTACACTGGTTTGAGTAACTTTAAGTAAATTTGATTACCACTTAGGAAATTGTTTAAGCACTTTTCACTGTTATAATGGCAAACATTACAATGACTATGGTGGGACACCACCCAGTAAATTGCTTAAGGTAATAAATGGTTTCCTCTGTTTTGAATGTGTGTGTGTGTGTGTGTGCGTGTGTGTGTGTGTGTGTGTGTGTGTGTGTGTGTATGTATGTGTGTGCACGCACATGCTGGGTGAGTGAGGGGGGAATAGAGAGACCTGTAAGATTCATAGCATAACAGGGGCTATTTTTACTTTGGTCCTCCATCAACTCTTGTTTTAGTACTTAGCTGTATCTGTTCATAGCCTGTGCTCACATCACTGCATTTTGTATTAAATACCTCCTACCTCCTACCTCCTACCTTTTATTTTCTTTCAAGAAGCATGTCTCTCTTGCCTTTGACATTTGGCTTCATTTTTCCTAGAGATTTTTCTGTCAATTTACTTCCAGATCGTCTGCTTCTGAAGAAGATGACAAGGAAGATAGTGTGTGGGAGCCCCAAAAGAAAGTCGTCAGAAGTCGCAAGCAGCCTGTTCCCAAAGAATCCAAACCAAAGAGGGTGCCACGGGTAAAGAAGACCACCCTACAGATCTGCGATGACTCAGAAGGCGTGGCTGTTAAGGAGGAGCTGGTAGGCGCTTTAGTTGGGTGAAGGGAACACTGAAATGCCTTCCTAATTGGTGATGCTACTTTCTCCTTACAGAGAGCGGGACAGAGTAGGTAGTTGACAAAAGTACAGGGCAGTGGCATTCTCTACCATGGGCTCTAGTCGTATTTATCGTTAGACTCACTGTGTTAGAAGGGAAAGAATATTTGTCAACTGACATATTGATGTATTTTGCTATAAGCAAATGCTGTATCTATACAAATCTGGATTAAAACACAACAACAACAACAATAAATTATAGGCTTTGTTGCATTACAAAGAGTTGTGCATTTCCAAAATCATTCTCTGTGGTATTCCTTTAAGAAACTGCTTCCATGGTACATTTGAAATAATACTCTTTTTATATGCTGTAGAAGCCTGACTTTTCAGGGATACATTTATTGTGTGTAGTAGAGGACATTATATTGTACCTTGCTCTGCTCTTAGATAGGGCTTTTATTTAAATCAGTCTTTCTCTTGTTATCCAGTACTTCTGTTTCTTCATCTTTATGTACAAGCTTTTCACTGAACACACTTGAATGGGTGAGCAGGCTTTACCTAGAGCTGAGAAAGTATTGACATCTATCATCTTATTGGCAAAATTTGGAGGTTTTTCATTAAGCGTGGTATGGTTACACCTAAAAGTAGCTTGATTGCCTAACTTACGAAATTTCTCTTAGTTCCGTGGTTTTTGGCATTAGGACCATAAAACCCTTGAGAATCTGATAAAAGTTATGAACCCTCTCTTCAGCAGAATGTACACATGCCTAGCTTCTAAATATTAAAATAGAGCTCAAGAAGGTACAGCTTAAGAACCCTTGTCATGGTGATTTCTTGATCCTTCCAGTGATGCTCAGTTATATGTGTATAAAAAAGAATTAGAATAGAAACTCTTTCACTTAAGAAACATTCTGTGGGGTTTTTAGAATTTCTTTCAGAATTGCCAAAATTCACACATTTTATACCTTAGCAAAAGCACATTGAGCATATTAGAAGACTTTATTCCATTAGGTTTGGCGCTCTGATCTGCTGTAGCCACCACCGAACAAAATAATTGAAAACCTTATTTTGGGTAGAATGAGAATCAGTGGCCTCCTTATAACTTTATTTTTAGCAAACATCACAGGCAAAATTAATTGTTAGTCTCTTCCTCTCTATGTTGCTGGCATTTACCAACCTACTCGCCGCTCTGGTCACTGAAGACATTTGCTCAGCTCCATTTCTTGTCTCCTCTCTGCCACTTTCTGCTGTTGTTCTTGGTGATTTCTCCTCCACTGGGATGCATTCCTTGATGCTTTGGTTCTTCGATCTCCTCATCTCCAGGGACCGTGTCTTCTTCTCTGCCTTTACCACCCCTCTCGTGAGCTCAGCCTGAATCTTGCCATCATCAGAAACTGTGCTATTGTCATTCCTTTCCAAGCATCCTGTGTTCGGAGCACCATCTCACCATTTCCTGTTCTCCTAGTTCACTGTTCAGGTGCCATCACGGCCACACTTTTATAGCCTTGTCACATCTTCTCCTTGGTAGCTTCAACCCGGGGAGCTTGAAAAAATGCCCCTGTCCTAGATCATTTAAATCTGGAAAGAATCCTGAGGGTGGGGATGGGCCCAGGCCTCAGCGGTATTGTTTGCCTGAAGTTCCTCAGGTGACTTCTGTGGACAGCGGGGGCTGAGGGCTACGACCCAGTCCTTGGACTGTAGCGCTTCCCCAGATCTGCTTCATGGATCACCATCAGTCAGCCCTTTTCTTTTCCTACCCTACCTAGTCTTGACCACATAACCTCTCACTTAAACCACTTTTTATTAGTCTCACCAGTTTTGCCCTTCTTTCCTTCAGTTGCACATGGCTGATCAGACCCGACACTGGGTGAGCTATTGCCTCTGCTCTGCCATCACAGAGCAGCTGACTCTTGCTGAAACAACCTTGACCTAATTTGTTTTTCTTTATATTCATGATCTCAGACCTCAAAATTACCCTAAAAATACCTGGTAGACCCATTTTTTTCCTCCGGCGGATTTGTTTTTCCAGTTTTTTCTTGTTTCTTAAACTTCCTAAATTCCTTTCTCTCCCTCTCAGCTGATGACATTGCTTTTACATATTTAAAAATTCATGAAGCTCCTCATTATCTCACAACCAGGCTAGCTATATTTGCGTTCCTTTTCTGTCCTGTTACGGTGGAGGAAATGTCATCCCCCCCGTCCAGGATTAGTCCCACCAGTGGGCTGTCATTGCTGTCCCCTCTTGCTCAAGGTCTGTGTATCTTTAGTCATCCCCTTTCTTTTCTCTCATTAACTTTTCTTCCAGTGACTCAATTGCTAAAGAGTATAAAAATGCTCTTTTAAATCTAATTTTTAAGAAGCCTCCCTTCAACTCCTTATCCCTCTCCAGTTATCTGTCGAGCTCACACAGTACAACACAAGCCAGGGCCAAGGCCTGCTGACTGATTTGACTGGAAAAGACACAATGAGCCATTTTTTTGCTTTAGACAGTTGACTGCTTTCAGAGATGGCAAAAAGAAGAATAGTCAAATTCTTTTTTTTTTTTTTTTAATTTATTTATTTGACAGACAGAGATCACAAGTAGGCAGAGAGGCAGGCAGAGATAGAGGAGGAAGCAGGCTCTCCACCGAGCAGAGAGCCCGATGTGGGGCCTGATCCCAGGACCCTGGGATCATGACCCGAGCCGAAGGCAGGGGCCCAACCCACTGAGCCACCCAGGTGCCCCCCCCTTTTTTTTTTTTTTTTTTAAGAATAGTCAAATTCTTCTTGGAGTCTTGGGTTTAGTCATAGGCTACATAATAACCATGAGGAGTGTTAAGGCTGATTAAAAAAAAAACAGTGAGGGCAGAAGAAAATGAACTTTGATTATTCAGTCTGCCAAAGATTCAGGTTGAACATAAAGAAGAAAAATGTTCTCATGGAGGCTTATTAAACTTGAGACAGTTATAGACTCTTAGAAGCTTCATAAAATAGAGAGATATTTCCCTATGTTTTCAATAGTTTAGATCTACCTTTTTCAAACTTTTGGTCTTTGAACCCCTTTACTCTCTTAAAACTTACTGAGGAACCCAAGGAACTTTTGGTTATGTGGGTTACTGATATTAATATTTAGCATATAAAAATTGAAAATGAGAAATTAAAATATTGATTATTTTTTTAAAAAACCTATTACATGTTAATGTAGCTAAATTTTATTTTAATGAAAAATAAGTATATATTTTCCCAACCAACAACAAAAAAAATTAGTGAGAAGAATGACATTGTTTACATTTTTGCAGATGTCTTTAATGTCTTATTTGACTTACTAGAATATAACTGAAATGTAAAAACAAAACCTGCTTCCACACAGATATGTCTTTGCAAAAGGGAGATGCATTTTAAAAAGCTTATTTGATGCGGTACCAAAAATCAGTGAGTGGTAGTTTCTTAAAAGTTTGTTTCATTGTGAAATCTGAAACCATGTTAATGAACTTCTTGTACTCTACTACATTAAAATCCACTGGTTCGTGTTATTTGAATGGGTCTTTTACCCATGCATGATTTTGTGACATATATTGATCATTTGGAAAATATCGGTTCACTGATTTATGGAGATCTTGTGGATTTTTATCATCTTTCATTACCTGGTGTCAAAAAACCACATTTGTTAGTATAACCTCCAGTCTCATCACAGTGTTGGGAAGCTGTGAAGTTCAGAGAGGATACAATTTCCAAAATTCTAATTTTCACTATTAAAGCCTGAAATTTACTGTTGGTTGCAAATGTCGGTGTTTCCTTCAGGTGACAGTCACAGGTCATTTCTGGAAAAGTGTCCCAAGTCTGAATAACCATAGTTTTGTCAGTAATTATTTCAAGTAAAAATGCCACTTGCTGGAAAAAGAAGCTGGTTCAGTTCACAACTGAAATGGGTGCATGCGAGCTTTTGTTCGAGATGACCACTGCGCATCTGTATGCTTTGGCGTGCAGTTGAAGTGTTCTATGTGTACTCACCATTCCAGCATGGAGTATTAAAAAGGTGTGTTTTCAAGGACTGAAACTATAAAAGTCAATAGTTTTTATTTATTTATTTATTTATTTATTTATTTATTTAATTTATTTTAATGTAGGCTCCATGCTCAGTGTAGGGTTTGAACACACCACTCTGAGGTCAAGAGGCATGTTCTCTACCAACTGAGCAAGCCAGGCGCCCCTAAAAATGAGTAATTTTTAACTGCATTGTTAAGTGAAACTCACAATCGTTTTACTGTAAGAGTGTGGCGGTGAAGGGAACAGTGACTTGGCCTTATTATGAATAGAGTGTGGCCTTGCAGAGCCCCTGAAAGGCTCTGTGGACAACACTGAGAAACGCTAGGTAAATCTTGCCTGAAGACTCCAGAGAGGGTACCTTTCAAGTGTCTTTATGATTGTTGACTTTTCTTATTTTTCTCTCGGTCGTTGTACTTTTTCTTCATTTCTTTGTCTACTTCCTTCTCCCTCTCCTAGGAGGTAGTCTAGGTACGGTAGCAATGGTACTGATGGTGGGATCTGCAGATGTTTTCGTGCTTCCCGTCAGCTAGGCAACATGCTTCACACTACAGCTGTGTGAACTTACTCAGTCCTCACCACCACCCCTCGAGGCGTGTGCTATTACCATCCTGATTTTATAGATGAGAAAGCTACAGCAAGAAATGTGAAGTGATTTGCTCATGGGTAATAGATAGTATGTGATGGAACTGGTTTCTAAGTTAGTGACATGATTTTGTCAGCATTTCAGAAACCGAAACATCTTTCATTGGGTGGTTTTAGCTCAGCTGCGCTCGTAAGAGGGGTGTGCAAAACCAGAGTATTGATTTAATAATTAATGATTTGATATAATAATCACAAGGACATGAAATTTTTCTGACTGGTATTGTCTCTCCTCAGAGGCTGAAGTAAGTAGGCACTTAAATAAGAATCTGAGATTTACTCTATGAGCATGGATCCAGATTGGGAGAATTAGATAAATCCATTCTTTCAGATTTATTGAATGCCTCCTGTGGTCTAGGCCTTATGTTTGTCACAAGGACATCAGATGTTTTAAATGCACGAATCTAAGGTTGTGTGATGGATTCATCTCAGGAGGGCTTTCTTACCATTGCGACCAAAATACTCAGAGTCTGTTTGCTAAGCTATCCTCTTCCTTTTACATTGCTTAGAAGAATGCTGATCATATTTGCTTTCTTACAATTCCTCTTGTTCTGCCCCTCTATGGTTGCAGTCCTCTGTATGGCTGACACCTTTCTTTTACTGTATCAAGTCATTTGATCAAGTTATTATCAACTCTTACGAACCTATGCGTCATTCTATTTTTATATCTCTGCTCTTATCCATTATGTTTCAGCTAAAAATGTAATACTCAGAGGGTTTCTAATGTACATCATCTCCAGGTTAGGTGGTGGTGGGTGAGTTTAAGGATGGGGAGGGATGTTGTAGTTCACAGTATTTTCAGTAGTCAGTAATTCTGGAAAAATACTTGATAGGAGAGAAAATTGAATTTTGACTAAAAAATAGTTTGGGCGTTCTTCTTTTAGTTGAGTTGGCGCCATCGAAGTCTATTTAGGTAACCAGAAACAGGCCAGCCTGTGAAACTGTGAACTCTGTGCAGGTAGGGTCTGTTATGTTATTTATCACTCCAGTGCCTAAATGAATGCCAACTCTCATTCCTTCACATCTGAGCTGTTGCAAAGGCTGGGGGTGGTGGAGAGAGTGGCTCCTGGACACTAGTGTGGACTACTGTGTGGACTACTGTGTGGACTACTGTGTAGATTCCTCCTAAAAAAAATGCCTGACACCATTCTGCTGTCACATTGTGTTTTCTGTTCCTAGCGTTCTGCATAAATTGGTGGCAGGTTTAGCCTGCTGTGTTTGCTGAGTATGCGAGTGTTATTTTTTCCCCCAAAGGGTTGACTTTTGGTTGCAAGTTTTCTTTTTTATTTTTAAAAGATTTTATTCATTTATTTATTTGACAGTGAGAGGGAAGGCAAGCAGGGGAAGTGAGAGAGGAAGAAGCAGGCTGAGCAGGGAACCTGATGCAGGGCTCCATCCTAGGACCCTGGGATCATGACCTGAGCTGAAGGCAGATACTTAATGACCGAGCCACCCAGGCGCCCCTGATTGCAAGTTTTAAATCTTGGTTTTTTCCCAGCTTCCATAAACTTATCCTTTACTCATTTTTAAAAAATGAGACATTTTATTTCTAGATAATTATAGATTCACATGCAGTTGTAAAATATAATACAGAGATTGTGTACCCTTTAATTTCTTCCAACCATAACATTTTACAAAACTGTAGTAAACTATCATAACCAGGATATTTACATTGACAAAATCCAGGGACCTTATGAGATTTCTCCAGTTTTTTTGTATTCATTTATTTGCTCATTTCTGTATGTTTAGTTCTGTACAATTTTATCACCTCTATGCATATGTGTATCCACCATCCAGAATGGTTCCATCACCACAAGCATCCCTACTACTGCCTAGTATTTGCCTTTTTGTAGCCACACCTACCTCCCTTCGGACCCTTACCCCCATCTCTGACCCTCCAGTAATCACTAATTTTTTCGGGAATGCTAAATAAAGCACTAATCATTAATGTTATGTAAATTTTAAAGTATGTAACTTTTTGCAATTGCCTTTTTCCTCATTCAACATAATTTCCTTGAGATTCTTCCACGTAATTGTGTGTATCAGTAATTTTTTTATTCCTGAATAATATTCCAGGATATTTAGTTTTTATCTTATAATTTTCATGTTTTCTGTTTGTGGTTTGATAGAATAACTCTGTGGCTATTGCTGATGTTGATTTGGAAGACAGAAAAAATAAATTGGATAGCACGAAGACTCTGAAAACAGCAAAGACAAAACGGAAGAATTCAGCTCAGTCATCTTTGGGTCAGAGGACCAAAAAGCTGAAAGTTGATGAAGAAACCGACATGGCCAACAGTACAGAGATGCCATCCACGAGCACAGTGTGGGAAAGTGTGTGTAAGAAGGAAGAGAATGAAGATGACTTTACATTTGGTCAGTCCCCTTTAAAGAAAGTGAAGACCGAAGCATGTCCTCAGGGGCAGCCTGTGAGGTTTCCAGCAAATACCAACAGCATTAAAGAGGAGGTGGAAATGAACTGGGACATAGTACAGGTATGTGCAGTCATTTAGTTCGTGGGGTTCCTTTCTTTTTGATTAGGATAGGAATGGCACTGGCTAAGGAAAGGGTTGGGAATTTTCAGGTCTCCTTTCAGTTTTTCTAGTGATTTCTGGAGGCTTTGGCCACTGGTTCTTATCCTAGGTATGCTGTTTCATTTTATAGCTCATCATCATCAGCTCTTGAGCTAAGAGCTGTGACCTCAGGCAAGGTGGGTTTCTGCTATGGTGTTTTGGTGAACATGCACTGTATAGAGATATTGCACCAACAGACCAGGCCCTCATAAGTTCATTGTGAAGATTTTGTTTTGAGCTTGGACTGTATTTCCCGATCAAAGTAGTGTGAGTGATTAGGACATTGACCATTAGTACAGCTCTAATTCTTAATGTAATATTGTAATATACTGTAAACAGGGTCTAGAAATTTCTTAGGAAAAATCTAGCTGAATTCCAACTTGAGCTGCCTTGGATTTCTCCCAGTTTCTTGTTTGGCTTTAGGGATGACAGAGAAGACCTGAAGAGTGACTTTTAAATGGTTATTCTCAACTTCTGTCTGTGCCAACACACTCTGGGGACATTTCACACTTAATTATGATAGTGCCCTTCAGGGCAGATGTGAATGACCTCCCTCCCTCTTGTCTGATTCTGATGGGTACTCCTTCCCCTTCTGTGAATTACTGCTCTAGAGCCCAGGGCCTCTGCTTGCTCCAGCTGCTACTTCTCAGTCTAGGATTAGCTGTGTGTTAACCTTTTACTTCAGAGGAATTTCCCCCCCCCATGTTATCTCTTCTATTACCTATTAGTAGAACATCACTTTTAATTTTGAATTTTCTCTTCTCTGGCCGACTAAGGAGTAGAATGTTGCCTCAGAGCTTTCTTCTCATCCTTGTTCCTGAACTAAACAGTCCAAAGTTTCTTGGAGAAACAGTATATCATTAGGCTCCTTTCTGTACCATCGTTTTCTTTATTCACTTAGGCCTACAAGGACATGTTTTACTTTTTTTGTGTTTTCTCCCTATCCCCACCCCCTACAAGGACATGTTTTAAAAGAATGGTCATGGACTACCTGCATCAGATTCACCTGAAGGCTTTCTTGAAAGGCAGACCCCTTGCTTAGTTCCAGTCCAGACTCACAGGGGCAGGTGGATGTTTCCCATTTCCCTTTCTTTTCACTAAGACTCAGAAGCTGATGTCTCTACTATTGACATAAATCTGCTTTTAATCTTGGACAGGCAGCAGGAAGGAGGGAAGAAGGTTTCAGAGACCACAAAATCTCTTGAAATACAGAGATAAGTTCTTCAAGGTTAAGGGCGGCTTACCCTATGACACTTTGCTTCACACCCATCCCCTAAGCTGTGTAACAGAAAGAGATGAAAATGGTCCTGCCTTAGCCCATTATCTCGTAATTATAAGTGATAGAAACCTACTTCTAATGATCTGAAGCAGGAAAGAGTTTATTACCAAGGACATGGGGTCTTTCAAAGAATGGAAGGGACAAAGTGTGATCAAGTCTCCCAAAGGCCTTGAACCAGAAATTGAAAAACCGTGAGGATTCGAGGAAGGCTATTTCTCAGTTTTCTTTTTCTTTTCAGTTCCAAGTATTGTTTTCTCCTCCTTCTCCTTATTGGAAGTGATTTTTTGACAGTTCAAACAGGACTGCTCTTGGGATCTGGCACTCCTTGCTTGTGAGTTGGGAGAAATGGCTGCTACAACTGCCACCTTCACTGGGCACCCTGACAACTAGTAAGCTCAGCATTTTCGGATGGCTTTAGGGGTTGCCTGGGAAACTTTAGGTGTGATTTGCATTTGGTTTTTTTGTTTAACCAGCTGCAGTCTTCCTTGTCCAACATTCAGTTACTTTTTCAGACAATTCTTGTGGTATATGTGGATTTCTTTTTCTTTCCTTTCTCATTCTTCCATAAACAGCAGAGAATACTTTTATCTTGGCAGTGCATTCCTGCTTCCAGACATGGTTGACAGCAGTGGCAGGTGGTAGGGGAGAGGAGACTGAGAAGAATGAGAGTCACCAGTGCTGAGTCTGACAGTCAGGAAGGCCTTGACCCTTTGGATGAGGATTAGACTCATTGAAATGCCTGCGATATGTGTATTATCTGCCACAAAACAAAATATGTGGCCAAGTTCTTTGGGGAAATAGTGAAAGATACCTAGTTAATAAGGTATTGTCAATGGAAATTAATTGTATAGAGATTATTAATCATTACTAATTGATCATGTGGGAGATGTCATTTCTATTTCCTTCATTTTGTGTGCAGTTCCCCATATCCGCTTCCACCATGGGGTCATGATCCTTTGTTTTTTCCCTTCACGGTGTATTTCTCAACTCTGAAAATTCAGCTGCTTTTTCAGGAACATCACCATCTTGTTTGGGGAGAGAAAACTGCATTGTCAATACTTAAGTACTTAAGTTACTTATAGACTTTATGTGTAAACATACTTTGTGTCCATTTCTTACTCAGAAACAGGGATTTCCAGATCCCTTTGAGCAGACGCAACCTATTCTTCAGCCCTTTTCCCCAAACTGCAAATGTGTGGTCGCAATCAGAAATAGTTTTCATTAAAGAACATTATATAATTATGCAAATATGATATAAATACTGTGACCTTTTTTAGAATTTGAAGAGGTGACTAGCTACAACCAGTTTTTGAGAAAATTAAATACTTCAAAATGGTGATTGCTATTAGAGTCTCTTTATTTTGAGGAGGCTGGGAGTAAGGAGTGGAGTAGCCACATATGTTAGTAAGGTTTGCCAGATTAGAGAGGAAAAGCAAGCCAAACTCTCTTTATTAGCTATATTTCTTGCAAGAGATGATGGGAAATGGTGTGGGTGAAGAAGACCAGGGGATGACAAAATTAGGGAAAGAAGTGGGACTGCAAGGAGGTGAGTGTGTTTGAGCTGGCTTTCTCACTGCACTTCTGCATGTAAGCACACACCATCCATTAGGTTACCTGTTTGTTCCAGGAGTGATTAAGTGAAACAATTGCATTAGCTCTTTTTGTTTTTATGATTTAGCTGGTATTTGTTATGGGCTTTAAAACACATCTATTTTTTTTTTTTTATGATTTTATTTATTTGTCAGAGAGAGAGAGAGGGAGCACAAGCAGGGGGAGAGGCAGGCAGAGAGAGAAGCAGGCTCCCCGCTGAGCAGGGAGCCTCATGATGTGCGACTCAGTCCAAGGCCCTGGGATCATGACCTGAGCCTAAGGCAGACACTTAACCAACTGAGCCACCCAGGCGTCCCCCCCAAAAAATCTATTTTTTTTTTAAGATTTTTATTTATTTTTTTATTTGACAGAGAGAGAGAGATCCCAGGTAGGCAGAGCAGCAGGCAGAGAGAGAGGGGGAAGCAGGCTCCCCGCCGAGCAGAGAGCCTGATGTGGGGCTTGATCCCAGGACCCTAAGATCCCAACCTGAGCCGAAGGCAGTGGCTTAACCCACTGAGCCACCCAGGTGCCCCCAAAATCTATTTTTGAAGTATATATACTTCTACTTTGAAGTATATGTGCTATTTTGGAGTATATATAGCTTATTAATGTTCAAAAGTAACAAGCTTCCAGATGAAAAAAACAGAACCTGATCAGCACCCTATAATCCCCTTTTTATGGTTTTCCAGTCTCCTGTCCCCTTTCCTTTAACCACTTGTTTAACTTCTAACAGCATAGTTTTTCCTTTTGCAGTCTTTAAGGAAGCTTCTGCGTGTGATAAGATAAGTAATATAATAAAATAAATAGGCAGGGGTAAAGAGAACAGCAGGAATCAAAACCTTTTGAGAAAGGAGGTGTCGGACTGCTGATGGGGGAATGATTTTGAGTAGAGAATTCTATCTCTCAGTTCTACTCATTAGAGTAGGATTTAATATAATTTTAGTTCTATTAAAATATAGATGCTGCCAAGATGATTAAGGCTATAGTTTGTTGATACTCAGATACTTTCTTTTTTTAGCTGAGGGAATGGGGATATAGAGGAGTAAATCTCAGGACACTTTGGGAGAAGTCCATTTTATTGCAAGTTTTAGACACCAGAGGGCAGTATGAAGGCATGTTTCATCTGCAGTGGGATTCAAGAAGAGAAGTGAAGTTATTGTCTAACTTGTATTTTTGCCTGAAAAAAAATCATCTTGCTTTGCACACAACTCAAATTTTTGAAAAAGTAATGTAACTTGTGGGCCTTTGGGCAATTTACTTAACTTTTGGGGGCCTCAGTTTTTCTATCTATAAAATGGGAGTAATAATAACCTAGGCTCATATAATTTGAGTTAATACTGAATATGTGAAATGTGGAACACAGTAATCTCTATACAAGTGTTAGCTTCAAACAACAGTCACAACAAGTGCCTCTCTTATTTAAGTGTTAGGGTTGAAAAAAGTCTTGAGACTGCCTTCCTTTTTACTTTGCTCTCATTCCTAACCAGTTAACTGCAAATATTATTAAAGTAATAAATGAAAATCATTTAAAAGTAAAAACTGTAGTAGTTCTCTGCCTTACTCTTACACATCCCTAAAGTTTGATCTCTGCTTTTTTATGTCTTTGTTGTTTGCCTCATTTTTCTAGGCCCTACGCCAGAGGTGGTTCTTCAGTGGATCTGGGTGGGGCTCAATAATTTGCAATTCTGACAAGTTCCCAGGTGACGCTTACGTTACTGGTTTGGGGACCACACTTGTGAGACACTTTCTCTAGTCCACAGAGCTCATTGACTTGTAAAATGTCACAGGGATTTGAACAGGGAGGTTGACTCAATAGCTAAAATAAAGTAATGAGCAAATCATAACTGAGTGGCTTAATATTGAGTATAGAATAAAGCTCAAAGTCTACATGGAATTCACCATCTAGCTCTATCCACCTTTCCATTTCTCACCTCATCTCAATACCCCTTGTACATTTTAGCATTGCTGAACTTACAGCAACTTAAAAAGTGTGCAGTGGTTTCTCAGTGTTTTTCTTAAATTAATTAACTTATTTATTTAAATTTTTTTAAATTAACATATAATGTATTATTAGCCCCAGGGGTACAGGTCTGTGAATCGCCAGGTTTACATACTTCACAGCATTCACCATAGCACATACCCTCCCCAATGTCCATAACCCCACCACCCTTTCCCGTCCCCCCTCCCCCCAACAACCCTCAGTTTGTTTTGTGAGATTAAGAGTCTCTTATGGTTTGTCTCCCTCCCGATCCCATCTTGTTTCATTTATTCTTTTCCTACCCCCCAACCCCCTCCCCACATTGCATCTCCACTTCCTCATATCAGGGAGATCATATGATCGTTGTCTTTCTTTGATTGACTTATTTCACTCAGCATATATATATATATATATATATATATATATATATACACACACACACACACACATATACACACACACACACACACACACACATATATACACACAATGGAATACTATGCAGCCATCAAAAGAAATGAAATCTTGCCATTTGCGACGATGTGGATGGACCTAGAGGGTATTATGCTGAATGAAATAACTCATCAGTGTTTTTTGATATGCTGTTCTTTCTTCATGGAATTCCTGCCCCTATTTGGCTGCCTGGAAATACCTTCATTGTCTTTGTTGCTTTTTCATCGCTGCAGAATTAGATGTTTCTACCTCCCATGTGCTCTTGAAACAATCTATGTGCTTTTGCAAGAGTACAGATCACAATATATTTTAACTACTTGTCTGTCTTCTTTCTAGCTTGTAAGCTCCTTGGAAAGAGGGACTTGGCATTTTATGTTTTGTTTTCACTGGCTTGGTATGGTTATTGGCATGTAATATGAGCTATATTGGCATATAATGTGTCAAATAAACATTTGACTAAATTAAGACAGGGAATTGGATGGTCTGGAGACCCAAAAGTATAGACTGCTTATATAGGGTTTTGTTGTCTTCAATTTCAAGGAGCAAATCTACATAGGCAGCGGCGTACACTCCCTTAACATATATGATGCTTCTGGATTTGTTAGGACCATGTATGACCCACATGTGGACCTTGGGCTATGTTTGAGCCCCTTTCAGTTAACAATAGCTGAGATAGTTTAGGATAGTGGGAACCAATGGGTTTCTCTAACAATCACACAGTTCCAAAATGATGAGCATTTTGATCATTTTCATTTTTCATATCTGTCTTTTAGAATCTGGCCCGTCTTTCAAGGGCCAGTTGAAATGCTACCCCTGTAAGAAGCCTTCCTTGATTACCCCTGCGGGACCTTTCTCTTCCCTGAAAACAGTGTATCACTGGCACATCCTGTTTTATTTGTATTTATTTGCATTAACATTTACCTTCCCTTCTAGATTGTTTACTCCTATAAGACACTGCAATTTGGAACCACACTTAGGAAGATATTTTAAAACTATGCCACGGTGGTTGAACTTTTACCAGTATGTAGATAAAAGTTATTGGAGCTTTGTTCAGAAGAAGAAAAAGAGAAAAAATACCTGATTTATTATATCTGTGTTTTAGAAACATAATCAGCAGTAATGCGGAGAGGCTGGGTGGAAAGCATAGAAAACAGAACTGCTCTGTGGTTCAGATAAAAAATGATATTAGCAGAAAGGGAACTTGAAGGGAAAGAACAGACATTTTAGAAATGCAGTTTGCTTCCTTAATAATAATTTATATGGTCATGATAGGGAACTCACAGTGATACTGAGGACATCAACTAGAATGCTTTTTGGTTGCAGTAAGAGAAAACCCGTCTCAAACAAGCTTACACAATGAAGGTGATTTCTTGACCGCTGTAACAGGAAAAGTTTGATCAGTGCACTGAAGCAGTCTTTCCATGATTCTCTTAGTACTGCCATTCTCAGCTTTACGAGTCTATGTGTACAAACCATGTTTCTCTAGAAGAAACTGTACCTGGGTCCAGAGTTTAAACCCAAATCTTGAGCTTCATGCTGACTGGACCAATCTTTCTGGCCACACTCTGGCTATTATATATAAAACAGTTGGATACTGAAAAAAATGCTGTGGATGTAGAGTTCAGGTTAAGTTCTCTCAAGGTGCATAGCTAATACATAGTGGGAAGGTGGTATTGGAGGAGATAGCCATAATATTCCTGAGAATTTCTGTTGTAGAAGACGATGTTAGTTGGAATAAGAAATAGGAAGAGGTACAGGTTTGAGAAAATACTAATGAGTCTGATTTTGTAGGGGTCAGGGAAAATAACAAGCAAGAGCAGCATTTCTGGATGAGAGAGCAACTTCAGAAGGTCTCTAAAGAGGGAAACAACTGGGCTTGTTCTAGGAACTAAGAGAAAGTCATTGGGACTGACTTCTTTTTCTTCTTCTTTTTTTTTTTTTTTAAATTTTATTTATTTAACTGACAGCACAAGCGGGGGGAGCAGCAGTGGGAGAGGGAGAATTAGGCTCCCCACTGAGCAGAGAGTTCAGTGTGGGGCTCAATCCCAGGACCCCAAGATCATGACCTGAGCTGAAGGCAGATGCTTAACCAACTGAGCCACCCAGGCCACCCCCACTGGGTCAGGCTTCTAATGAGAGGAGGATTAGATAAGATGAGGTTGGTAGTAGGCTGATGTCTTTTGGGTCATGGTAAGGAGTTTAGATTCTAAGTGCAATGGGAAATCATTGAAAGGTTTTAACTAATTAAGTGACATGATTCAGTATACATTTTATCTTTTTTTTTAAAGATTTATTTATTTGAGAGTGTGCACACACATGTGCATGCAGGTGGGATGGGGGGAGGGGCAACGAGGGAGGGGGACAAATACAGAACCTTAGGCAAACTTACCGCTGAGCGTGGAGCCTGATGGGCATGGAGCGTGGGGCCCCAGCTCAGTCCCAAGATCCTAAGATCATGACCTGAGCTGAAATCAAGGGTTGTAACCCACTGAGCCACATAAGCACTCCCCAGTATACATTTTAAAAAGATAATTCTTGTTGGTTCATGGAGACTGGAATAGATGGGATTGGAATGGGTGCAAGAATAGTTACAGGCTGTTGAGTAATCCTTGCTTGAACTAGACAGGTGTGGGGAGGAAGAAATGAAGAACAGTAATAGACTACAGAAATATTTTGTAGTTAGAGTTAATTAGTTCTTATGATAGAGCAGGTTAAGAGTTGAAGGAAACAAAAGGATTAGACTCTTACTTTTGTGGCTTGAATTACTGTTTGGACATAATAAGGGGGAAAACTGGAGAAGGAATAAGTCTGAGAGGGAGATCACTTTGCAAAGCCAAGTTTGAGATGCCCATTATGTTTTCAAGAGAATATCGCAGGTAGTTGTCTAAATGAGTCTGGAGCTCATGTGGAAGAGAGCCAGGGATGGAGATGTCAAGTTGGCGTTCTCACTCATCAGAGAGATGGTATTAATGCATCAAAATGTGGGAAGATGTGGGCCTCAGGATTTGAGATGGCCAGGAGAATGAGTACCCTCCCTCGATAATCTCTGGATTTCAGCTTCTTATTTCATCTGTAGCTTTGAAATTCATCCTGTTTTATATATTGACTTGATTTTGTTAATTAATTGATTCTGATAATTCTTTAGTAACTTTTCTGGGTTTTTTTTCCCCCTTCCAATTTTGGCTGATCATGGGTATCAGGATTGAAATAATAATAAAATTTATGTCTTTTATGCTGTACTCGAAAAATCTGCTTAGGTTTTGAGATCAGTTACTGAAATTGCCTTTCCTTCTTTCTCTTCTTCAGGCTGACTTCTCTAAACTTTTCTGCTTATGTGTACATTCTCCTGAAACCTATAGATTTGCTTTTTTAAAAATTAATTATTTTAAATATGCAGTATATGTGTATGATATGAAAATCGAAAGATACAGAAAAGTTTTCCTACCCTTACTCATCCATTACCTTTTCTGAAAGTAAGCCATGTTCCTAGGTCTCGTGAATCATTCCGTATCACTTCACATAAGATTGGTTGCATGGTATTCATTCTACTCTTATCATATCATATTTATTTACCAGTTTCCTAGTATAGACTTAGGTTTTCGCTGACTTTATTATACTGGAAAAGGTTCTTCAAAAGATATCACTATAAATAGTATCATTTTCTAGGAGTATGAATATACCAGGATAAATTCCAGAGTGGAATTGCTGGGTCAAAGAGTTTATGCATTATAAATTTTGATAGATACTGCCAACTTGTTCTTCCTGCAGAGGTTATACCATTGCACTTTCTCACTAGCACTGAGACAACACAGTGTCATGTGTCGACACATGTCATGTGTCGACACATGTCAACACAATGAGTTACCAACTCCTTGATCTTTGCTGCTAATCTTGAGAGGTGAAAAATGAGTCTTATTGAGTCCTGTAGAATTTGAATGATTACAGCGTGGCTTTGATTGGATTTTACTGAATTAATGAAATGATGGTTTTATGATTGTTAGTACATGTATATATTTTTTCAGACTACCACAAGTGTTCCTAAGTGAAGAACATTATTGATTATATTTGAACCATACATTATCATATAAATGTTTAAATCACTAAGTATCCTTATTTGCAGGTTTTATCTGAGAGAACTAATATTGAACTTTGGGTTTGTGCCAACATTATTCGTCTCTTTAATGATGATAACACAATTCCCTTCATTATACGGTATCGAAAAGAGCTTATTAATAACCTCGATGCTGATTCCTTGAGAGAAGTTCGACAAACCTTGGAGGAGCTCCGGTAAGAAACCTGGGAAGGGAGGAGCCTACTATGAGTGGAAAGAGGCCTTGTAAGCCAGTGAGGAGAAACAGTGAGGAAGTGAATGACAGCATATTTCAACAGTCCCATTGTTTTGTCTTCTTGAATTATTGTAATTGAATGTAGTCACCTTCTGACAGAGGAAGTCAGGTTCATTTTACTTCTTTAGGTGTGTACAGAGTCCCTCTGCTGGAGCATTTATGAATAGCTTGGGCACACATGAGCAGGAAGGAGGCTTGCCTTAAAAGTGTGTGCTTAAGAGTTTGACCTTCATATTCTCTCGTAGAAATAGTTGTGTGTAATGGCAAAGTAAGGAAACAGAAACAGAATCTTCAATAGCTTATATAAAACTGTCCTCTTAATACTATGAAGTCCCTAAATGGCGAGTTTTTTTGGCAGTATAGAGTTTGGTGGCAAATCTGTATATTTCCTTTTTCTGATCTTTTAAAGAGCATGGTAATTTGATATTAGTGGGTTTTAAGTTTTGTATAGCTATAGAATGAAAAGCATCCTTTAAAAAATTATACCTCTGGACTTACTGTAATGACTCAGAAATAAGCATGCAAAGACTATAAGATTAACTGTATTTTTCAGTAGAGTTTATTTAAACATTCTTCACTATTCATGCATTTATTGCATGTCTCGTACATGCCAAGCACTGTGTTGTTAATGTGTGTGTTCTTCAACTCTACGACAAGGATCTGATAAAAATTGGATAGAATCTTACCTTCAAGCCATTCTAAAAGTGCTAAAAGTTATTTTTTACAAGCAGCCTAATAATCTTGTTGGGTGGGAGGAACCTGCATGTCACTAGCATTTCTATACCTTTTGTTGAAGTTCTTTTAGTGCCAGGAGGATTAAAATGCTAATAAGTGGAGAGTTATATTTCCTTGAGAGGCAAAATCAATTAGCCAGCCCGGAAGTAAATGACTAGCTAATCAAGTGGTTTCAGATTTAAGTCTTCCAGGCCCAAGTTAGTATAATAAAGCATCAAGGGATACAAACTAGAGATCCTAACTCCTAAGAGGGGAAGCATCTATTCCAGCCGATGACTGACATGTGGGCTTCTCCACGCAGTTTGCCAGCTTGTCCTATTTTTTTTTCCCCCCAAAAACCTGGTAATCTGAGTTTTTATATAAAAATTTTCAGGGCCAGGTGAAACCATCTACAGGCCACAATATGAAGGCCAGTAGTTCACGAATTGTGAAGTAAACTTTCTGTTTGGTTGAAGGCAAGATAGTGAAGAAAATCTGAGGATTTGGGGATCTGAAATTGAGGAAAGTATCACAAACAAGGATAGTTTACTTTAAAAATTAAAGGTATTCTAATAATTTTTGGTTGTATGGGGGACAAATAGAAGCTTTATGTCAAGATTACTATTATTTCTTTTTCTGTTAAAAAAAAAACACTTCAGAAGCGTTCATTCCCTGGATATCTGCTAGTAGTGAAATACTTCAAATATTAGTGGAGGATATTTCTCTGAGTAAGTGGGGGCATTGACTGGGTCTTGGAAGATGTTTGTATACCATGCAGAGATTTGGAAATGGGATATGGTCTCTATTTTTTTCTTAAGCTCAACATTTTCTATAACTAGAGCATTGATTTTCAATCTGTTAATTGCTATCTGTAAAGGAGCAGTGAAACTAATGTAGTGGGTCATTACCACTTTAACAAAAATTAAATAGAGAATAGAAAATGTAAGAGTGTGATTTATGTAGTAAAAGTAAATATTGTTTCATGAAAATATTTACCATATGTTTATGTAACTATTACATATATTTATATTATGTTTCTATAACTTTATCTAAAATTATTTACATGTATATGTGTAGTAGGTTGCAAGGTGAAAAATTTTTTACTGAGGGTCACTGTTAAAAATGTGAATAACAAAGGTTGATTATATATAGTAGGAAAAGCTTCCTATTTTCTCTAAAGATGCCTTTCCTCTTCCATATATGCAAGCCAGTAGGACACTGGCCTTTTGTCAAAATAACCCTGGTGGGCTTCAGCCCCTGAAAACGGTCTTGGGCTACCAGGAATGTAAAAGTACACAGGTTGTAATCTAAGTACTGCATATGCTTCCTATTTAATTTACAATCTTTTTTTTCTTTTTTGTAAGTAGATTTAATTTTTTTCCTATCAATCATTTCTAATAATCTATATTTTCATCTAACTTTTCCCCATCATTTTAACAGTTCCAATTAGGCAGATGCTGTAAGTAGTAACAGGTATCAAAATAAGATGAGAGGCATTAGATATAACGATAGGATTTGTATTCATAGTACAAAATCATCATAAAATGGTGGTATGACTGTGCCCTTGCTCCTGCCTATGCATTGATTCCTGGAATCAGCTTTTTTTGTGTGAAATCCTGGCTCTCTCCATTGGAGAATGGTATTTTGAAACCAGGTATGGGTCCTAGGTTTGCTGGTCCTGATTGGTGATGAGCACATCTAGCACCCATAACTTGGTTTCTATGTACTATTCACCTGATTCCAGGGCTGGGGCAAGGAAAGTAAAAGCCTGGAATATTGGGTGCCAGAGAATAAGGAAGTACTCTAAGAATGATGGGGATATGTCAGAAGAACACAGAAACTAGCCTGGAGGGGTTACTTCTGGTCAAATTCAGAATAATTGAGCATCAAAATAAGTGTTCATAATGGATTATAACCATTAAATTAAAAACCCTGAGTTTGTGGTGATATAAATAAATCAGCAAATAAATTGAAAGTTTAATAAGGAGTGGGATAATTAAATAGTTTTAGAGTACCTTTCCAAAAAATACTTAATTATAAAGAAATAAAGTGGCTGCATGATGGAGAAACCCACAGACACTATCAGATGATCTAAGGTGATTAGTAATGTACAAGTGAAAACCATTTGCCCCCTAAAGGATGCAGTGATAAGAACACGGCATTACTTCTATAACATCAGAGAAACTCAAACTAGGACATTCTATAAAATAACTGGCCTGTAATATCTGAAATATCAAAGCTTTGAAAATCAAAGGGACACTGAGGTACTGTTTCAGCTTGAAGGAGACCATAGACACATGGCAATTACATACGAGCCACTCTTAACAGAATTTGCTGTCAAGGACATTAATGAAACAGTTGGTGAAACTTGGGTGAGATCTGCAGATTAGAATATAATAATACATCTATATTCATTACCTCATTTTGATGGCTATATTATGTAAGAGGAGATTCTTGTTTATAGAAAATATACACTAAAATATTTGGGTAATGGTAACTTACTCTTAAATAGCTAGGAGGAGAAAAAATGTTTTTATCTCACCTACAACATTCCCGTAAGTTCGAGATAGCTCAAAAAGGAAGTTTTGACACATAAGTCTCGTATATTACAAAAGTTTTTATTTCCAGGGCTGTTGCAAAGAAGGTTCATAGTACAATCCAAAAAATTAAGAAGGAGGGGAAGATGTCTGAGTGCTTGTTAAAAGCCTTGCTGAACTGTAAAACTTTTGAAGAACTAGAACATGTGGTAAGGAACTCTTTTAATCTTTTTTTTTTTTAAGATTTTATTTATTTATTTGACAGAGAGACAGCAAAAGAGGGAACACAAGGAGGAGGAGTAGGAGAGGGAGAAGCAGGCTTCCTGCTAAGCAGAGAGCCTGATGCGGGGCTCGATCCCAGGAACCCTGGGATCATGATCTGAGCTGAAGGCAGGTGCTTAACAACTGAGCCACCCAGGGTCCCGGGAACCCTTTTAATCTTTTTTTTTTTTTTTTTTTTTAAGATTTTTTATTTATTTATTTGAGAGACAGAGATCACAAGTAGGCAGAGAGGCAGGCAGAGAGAGAGGCAGGGGGAAGCAGGCTTGCTGCTGAGCACAGAGCCCAAGGCGGGGCTCAATCCCGGACCCTGAGATCATGACCTGAGCCAAAGGCAGAGGCTTAACCCACTGAGCCACCTAGGTGCTCCTCTTTTAATCTTTTAATATAATACCTACCTAATTATATTATGATTTCGATCTTTTTATAGTTAAGATCTGGAAATAGAATGCTAAAGGCATCAGCCATCATTATTTAATTCAATAAAATTCTTATTCAATAAATACCTATCAAATGCTTTTTTGTATGGTTTGCTAAGATAAATAATACAGACTTCTTGTCTCCAGGGCATTCCCAGTTGAGTAGGGAGACAAAGGAGTGTAGGTTATGGAATTGAGAATCCTAAAGGAGAGTGCTCAACTGGAGGCCTAGCTGTGAGGGTCTTCAGCATGTAGTTGGTCTTTAGAACCATGAGAATGGAAGATTTCACTCTGGGATAGTTTGTGGATAACCAAGTCAGGATAGACCATTGAGGAACACTAACTTTTGAAGCATGGGTGGAGGAAGGGAGAACTGAAGAAGGAGACATGGAAAGAATGGTTAGGGAAGTAGGAGGAGAATCAGGAGTAATGACACCATGAAAGACTTTAGGGAAGAGAGTCTGAGAAGAAGGTAATCATCATTTGTTAAGTAAATAAATGTAGCGGGAGATTTGGCAAGATAAGGACTGAAAAATGTATATTTGGTAAGTAGGGGATCATTGTGCCGCTTTGGGATACTGCTTTCAGCATGGTGTGAGGAGAGAAGCCCAATGGCTCAAGTTGAGGAGTGAATGTGTGTTAAGAAGTAGAAACATTATGTGTCGGTGGCTATTAGCTATTAGAGGAGCTCCCTTGGGTTGAGCAGAGGACCTTCTAGTCCTTATAATCCAGGCAGAGTTTTTAAGGTGAGTGACTACAAACAAATGACTAATGTGAAGTGAATAGAAAAGTGTAAAGAATCAGATAAGGAATGACCATCTTTGTTTAGCTGGTAGTCTCTGGTTAGTATTAATTCATCTCTGAAGGGAGAGGAAAGAGTTGAGAAAAGGATGTCTTTAGCATTCCCATCATGTCTTCTAATTTTGTGTTTTAATTTTGACTTGCTTTTTAACTGAATGATATGGTATGTTTTCTGACTTTTTTTTCCCTTCTAGTCCGCTCCATATAAAACTGGGAGCAAAGGCACAAAAGCCCAAAGAGCTAAGCAGTTGGGATTAGAAGCAGCAGCCAAGACATTGCTTGAGAATCCAGGGGAGCTCAATCTGCTATCTTACATTAGACCCAATGTGAAAGGTACCAGCTTTACTTAAAGAGATTATCCTTGTTTCTTTTTCTTTTTCCTTTTCCTTTTTTAATTTGAAAACTATGTCAAAAAAATTGTTTCATTACGTAATGACTATACAAAAGAGTATTATAGCACATAAGGAATAAATAGCTCTAATAAAATAAACCCCTATATACCTCCTGCCACCATTCAGCTTCCTCTTTTGATGAAGTGCCTGTTCTAGTCTTTTGCCCATTTTTATTGTATTGTTTCTCTTTTTTTTAATTAATTTATAAGTACTTTTTAAGATAGTCTTTTTGTTATATGTATTACAGATCTTTTCTCCCAGTATGTAACTTCTTTTCACTTTCTTTATGCTGCCTATTAAATAAATAGAAAATAGAAGGTCTTAATTTTACTAGTTTATTAATCTTTTCAATTTTGCTAATCTTTTCTCTAAGATACTTGCTTTTTTTTTCCTTTTTAGAGAAATTGCTTCATTTCCCAAGGTTTTAAAGAATGTCCTATATTGTCTTGTAAAACTTTGACTCTTTCTAAAAATTTATTTAATTATAAAAGTCATCTACTTTTTAAAAAGAATTTCAACAATTCTGACATAATTAGTTATAAAGTGAAGTTCTATTTCCACACTTCTACTCTCCAGGAGTAAAGGGTCCTTTTTCTGAAATATATCTTCCTAACCTTTTGTGTATGTATGCACAAGAATAAAAGAGATGGAAAGAGAGTAGGGGAGAGAGAATTTTTAAGAGAAACCCATGGAAAGTGACTACTGATACATGTCAAAATACATTGGTTTTATTGACAAAATAAGCCCTAGAGCGAGAGCTCTTTGAGGAAGAGTGGCTTTTTATAGGAGTGCTCTGACAGGATAGGATGGATGGGGAGATTGATGCTCTCCTAAGTACTATGCTCATTCTAGTTTCTTTAGCCTTCCGTTTATTCTTTTGGCTAGGAGAACTAAGTGTCTATAGGGGGCAGTCTCTGATAAGGATATCCACCTTCTGTACTCCACTATAGAGAATACTAGCATATTATAACCTGCTTTCATTTTAAACTATTCAGCAATGTGAGTTTGCAATTAAAAGATTAAGGATGAGTGTCTAAAAATACAAATGTCTGTTCATATACAAATACACTCATCTTAATATTTGTTTTGAAGATGGCATTAATTAAAAGAAAAAGCACAGAAGTATTGAATTTAGAGATGGATTGAAATGAGTAAAACTCAAGTTTGTTTAATTTTTTAATGTCTATTTTTAATTGGATTTTCCAATGATGCAATTTTAATGTTTTACTAGTGGCTGAGACTGTAAAGCCAAGCATTAAGGTCAGCCACAGTGGGGACTTTCTTGCCCAGTGATAGTATGTTTTCTTAGAATCAAATATTGGAGTTTTCAGAATATCAGATACACAAAGGTATATTTTCTGTTTTTACTCTTTTATGATTGATTTCCTTTCCTTTCCACCTCCTTTGGTACAAAGTTTTCCTTAGTTTGCACACATACTGAGTTCCTACTGGGTAGGTTTGATAACTCTGCCTCTTTAAGGCATGGCTCTATATGGTGATGCTCATGAACTACATGGTGATGGACACCTGGTGATACTTCTGATAATGAGGCTCCATCAGGGCTCAGTGCAGTTACGGAAGTACTAGCGCATATATTGAACTTCCTGTTTACTTTATTCCCTCCTCCTTTTACTTTGATCATAAATGTCGAAGAATTACAATTAATTCCAAACAAGTTAGATACTGGTTTTTAAGTTTGTTTGGATTGTTTTTTCTTTTCTCTGTCCCTTCATTGCTTGGGCTATACACATACTCATGATCATCCTCAATTCTCTTAGGTTTCTAAAGAAATATTTTTTATCATTCCTGTCATGTCTCAAAGAAATGTTTAAGAAACCAGCTATTTCACTGTGAAGTGGAGGACACTTCTTACTTGCCACAGACCAATAAGAACTTGGTCTGAATCAAAAAGATAAACGTGCCACAAATGGACTATATCCTAGAATTTTCAGAATATCTCCATGTTGTTTAGAAGGAGGAGTAGCTGATTGCTCTATTGTGTGGAATAAGAGGTATCCTTATTGCAGTTAAAGTGAAAAGAAGTGTTTGCCCTTCAATTTTCATTACAGTTGTGGAGCTTTGAAGAAACTGGCTGGGAAGTTTTTACTACAACAAAGGAGATACGATTTTTTGCTTCTCTGATCCTTATTTTCTCCTGATTTCATTGAGGTTCTAAACTTTTTGAACTCTTATTATTTTTGGCTGTCTTAAGCCCCAATGATCAATTCTGTGTGATGGGAAAAGATGCTTATTCAAACATACAAGATTCTTCCCAGTCCTTTCTCTTCCAAGTTGGGACTGAGAGGGAGGTAATATAATTTGGATGAGCTACCCAAGTGACTCTGATCACTTCTACCTCCCATTAGGAACCTCTGCTCTAGAGGTAGCTCAAGGTACCTCCCCAGCAGTGTTTTTTTGTTTTGTTTTGAACTTTAGGGGGTATCAGAATGATCTGGAATGCTCTGTAAGACAAAAATCCCCAAACTATACAAAATGTTGCTCTAGAGCTCTAGTGTAATTTTAATTATATAAGGTTTATTAATTATAAAAAATTTTCAAGTTGTATTTGCCAAAAATGATGGGGGCTTTTTAAAGGTCTCTTATTATCATAATAAAATATATAACTTCTTTTTTCTGTTCTCTCTCATTGATGATTCTCAATGGAGATACATTCCATCTTTACTTCTGACTTATTTCCTGGTATTTTTATTAAATTTTGTGTAATGATGCTGTAAGGTGCTTTGGAACTCCAGTAATTAGTGCATAGTGACTGGTTTTCTGAGATGAAGCCTGATAATAGGGAGAAGCTCACCTGAATAGACATTTATTGACTCCTTACTATATGTCACAGCTGTTCTAGGTCCTTTACATATACAACCTTCTATCTCTCAAAGGTAATTCACTCCTGAAAATTCCCCTATAGGGAAACTCTTAAAATGTAAACAGAATTTGTAGTAATTTTAATGGTTAAATTTCTTTAAAATAATTGTAGTTATTTTAATACTTAGGATTAGTTATAACAAAATCCAACAAGGCATATCTCTTTATTAATGACTCTATAAGTCTGTCTTCTTACTCCCTTTGTCTTTTATATCTATTACTCATTAAAACTATGCTCTCAGAAAAACATTGTGATAGTTAGTACTTGTGTATTTCAAACTTTAATACGAGAAGAAAAGCTTTAATGGATATAGAACTAAGAAGAAATGGAAAAAAAGCAATGCAAATGATCTCTCTCAGTGTATATATAAGTTGATATCACAGGGGCCATAATGTTCAAGAGTCACTGCTATAAATTAGCAAACCAGAAGCACTTGTAAAGAACTTAATGCACCATTGGTAGACAATTCAACTATGAAGATGAATGACATAATGGCTCTTGTTTGGTGCTCATGAGATTTGAGAAATTCAAATGAGTCATTAAAAATGTGTATAAATGCCTCATAAGTCAAAATAAGATTATCAATAAAATTACTTGTAAAGAGTAGTTTTTGTAACTGGTATGAAATAGTATACCTTAGGTTATAACTCTGTTAATACATATTTCCCATAGCACATTTATTCTTCATAAACACTTCATGAAGCAGGTGCTGTTATTCCATTTTTATAGGAAACTGAGGCACAGAGAGGTCAAGTAATTTGTCCAAAGTTACACATTTGGTAACTGAGGAAACTAGGATTTGACCAGGTGGCTGGCTCCAGAGCTACATTTTTTTGCCACTAGGTTATATGGTATGTAAAGGTCTTGTGTTATTGCTTTGGAGACTTGTTATGTTTTTGCAGAGGTAAGCTAGTCACTGCTATTATACTTCTCTGTCTTAAGGTTTTCAATTTAAGGGTTTATTTCCACTGAAATAAATTTATTATGATTTAATTATTGACTTAAAAAACCAATCTGTAGTTCTTTCTTTGTTTTCCTCCTTACCCTTCTCCTAAAGGACTTTCAGCACTCCAGGATATTGAAACAGGAGTGCAGCATATTTTAGCAGACATGATTGCTAAAGACAAAGACACGCTTGACTTCATTCGGAAATTGTGAGTAACTCTTTTAGAGAGTTTTCTGCTTTGTGGACTCATGTTGCTAAGGGTCATATGGTTAGTGCTAACACTAGTGTTCATTAAAATCTTTATTTTTAGACTCCTTTTTTGGTAGCAGAACTCTTTGTTCAAGCAACAGAACCCTAATATGTAAAACAGATAAAGGTAAAGTTGCTTTAATTGAATTCTAGGCAGGGAGCCTGGAACTCTGCCTGCTCATCCTCCTTATGCTGACATACCTCAGTGGAGGGCTCTGAGGAACAGTTGAAAAACCATTGCACTATACGAGGTATGCTAGAGAGAGAGTCATATCCATTTAGACTGGGTGGCATGCTTCTTAGACATACTGTGATGTATGTATTTTACATGTATTATAATATCTCATTTCTGGTATTAATAAGTGATTGAGTTAACTTGAGAATGTTTAATATCAGATATAGATAAAAGTGCTGACCTCAAAATGAATTTCAGCTGATGGAGAGAGCTGCTTATCCATGGTATCATGGTCCATTTATAAGAGATTAAAACCTCATGACCTAGGCCCTACTTGGGCTTTTGGATTTTATGCCTCATTCAAAAAAGATATTATCTTAAAACCCTATTTTAATATGTTTTTTAGCTGTGTATCAGCAGAGAAGACAGGGTCTTGCCAGCAGTTTGCTCTTATTTCTCCACATCTCTGAGGTGTGCAGAGAGGAAAGGTAGAGATCAATCAGCTGACTGCAGTGGCTTTTCAGGGTTTTTGTTAATACAGGGTTTTGTTAATACAGTTTCCTATTTCCTCAGTAATAGTAATTCTTAGTAGGAATGAGTCAAAGGAAGAGAATGGCCTAGGTTTAAATGTGTTTATAAGTAATTATCCTCCCAAAATTTGTTTCAGTTTTATACACCGTCCCTGGAAGCTGTCCTGCCATATCCTCGTTTCCCTTCTTTTTAGCTTTTACATGGCTCTGACTGCCTAACTCAGCGGTTAGAAAAGGTTGATCTCTAGAACAGAATTATTGATCTGGTATTTGTAGTTTTGGTCTCTTACATGACTGCAGATGAACTGATTTAGGCCTTGCATAGGAGGATTGGGTTGATATATACAGATAGATAGATAGATAGATAGATAGATATAAATATGGAGAACCTGTGCTAGCAGAGTCCTCTTTTCATGGGTCAATACGTTTTTATACTTGGGCATCATTAAAAAAAAAATCTCATTTGGTAATAGCAGAAATTTTTTGCTAACATTATTTCCATATAATGTGTTTCTTTACTAACGCACATATTAATAACTGCTTGCTTTTTGAATATTTGTTTATCTGGACAGGTGCCAAAATAGGTATATTTGTATCCAATCATCTCTGGCAAAGGTGTCCTCAAAAAAAGTAAATGAGAAGGATGTTGATAAGTTTCTGCTGTACCAGAATTTTTCATGCAACATAAGAAACATCCAGCATCATCAGGTAAATAAAGAAACTGCTTATCCATGCTGATAGTAATAATAATGATGATACTTTGGATTTGCCTATTACTTTACTTATTAAGGAACTGAAGAATTTTAAGGCAACCATTTTCTTCTTTTTTTTCGTATAAATTCTTATAATGTCCCATTTTTCCCATTTCACAGTTGCGGAACTCAAGACCCAGAAAAGTTAATAAAACTGAATATTATTAGCAGAGTTGACAATATACCACTTCAGATATCTTGACATTTTGGCTGGTGATCTTTCATAGTAGACTTTGCTTCTCACTGTGCTTGGCTTTGAGCTCAATACTGGATCTTTTCCTTATGACATACAAATTAGAGATAATCTGATTTAGAATAAAGTGTGAGATCTCACTTAGTTGTGTAAATTATAGTTATATATTTCTGTCTCTTAATATCATTTTTCAGTTTACTAATTTTTTCCTAATTGTTATATCCACAATGTGGAAAGTGGCTTTTATGTCATGTAGGGGGAAAAAGATGATTTACAAACTGAAAATAAAATAATACTGGCTTTACATTTACTTATTTTTACCAGTGTTCTTTATTTCTTTGTATGCTTTTGAGTTACTGTCTACTGTCCTTTCATTTCTACCTGAAGGACTTCCTGTAACATTTCATGTAGGGCTGGTCTACTAGTGACAGACTTCCTCAGTGTTTATTTGTAAGGTCTTAAAATTTGTTTTTTTGAATTTATTTTTAATTGTGGTAAAAATGCTAATGTATTTAACTTATAACTTTACCATCCTAACCATTTTTAAGTACATAGTTCAGTAATGTTAAGTATATTTACATTGATGTGCAACCAATCCCCAGAACTTTTTCTGGGTATAGAATTCTAGGTTGACAGTTTTTTCTTTCAGCTCTTTGATTTTATCATCCCACTGTCTTCTGGCCTCCGTGGTTTTGATGACGTATCAGCTATTAAACTTACCAAGTCCCTAACACATGATGAATTACTTCTCTTACTTCTTTCAGGATTCTCTGGCTTTAGATTTTGACAGTTTGATTATAATGTGTCTCACTGTAGATCTCTTTGAATTTAATCCTTCTTGGGGTTCATTCTGATTCTTGGATGTGTTGGTTGTTTTTTTATCAAAACTGAGAAATTTGGGTCATTATTTCTTCAAATATTCCTTCTGCCTCTTTCTTCTGTCCTGGGTCTCCTGTTATACATATGTTGGTATACTTGATAATGTCCCACAGGTTTCTTGAGCTGTTTCTTTCTTTCTTTTTTTCTTTCTTTTTTTTTCTTTTTCTTCTCAGACTGTATAATCTCAATTGACCTATCTTCAGGTTTGCTGATTCTTCTCCTTGCTCAAATGAACTATTGAACCTTTCAGTAAATTTTTCATTTTAGTCATTGTAGTTCTCAGCTCAGAATTTCTATTTGGTTTCTTTTTGTAATTCTCAGCTCTTTATTGATATTCTGTTTGTTGAGACCACAGTCTCCTGATTTTTTTTAAGTCTCTGTCTGTGATTTCCTTGAACTCTGAGCATATATAAGATAGTTGATTTAAAGTGGTCTGGTAGGGGCGCCTGGATGACTCAGTGGGTTAATCCTCTGCCTTCAGCTCAGATCATGATCTCAGGGTCCTGGGATTGAGCCCCACATTGGGCCCTCTGCTCAGCAGCAAGCCTGCTTCCACCACCACCCCCCCTCTGCCTGCCACTCTGCCTACTTGTGATCTCTCTCTCTGTGTCAAATAAATAAAATCTTTAAAAATAAAATAAAGTGGTCTGGTAAGACCAATGTCCGAGTTTCTTCAGGGATAGTTTCTGTTAGTTTCTTTTTTCCTGTAAATGTGTCATACTTTCTTGTTTCTTTGCATGTCTTGTAATTTTATATTAAAAACTTGACATTTTGAATATTATAAGTTGGCAACACTGAAATCAGATCCTCCCATTCAGTATTTGTTGTTGCTGCTGTTGGGGATTTTGTTGTTTGTTAAGTGCCTTGTAAACTATTTTTGAAATGTCTTTGTTCTTTGTTTTGTGATCACTGAAATCTCTTCCATTAGCTTAGTGGACCGCTAGTTATTTGACAGAGATTTTCATAATGCCTAGATAGGCAAAACAAAAAAATACGTTCTCCTAGTTCTTGCGGATTGACTGTTGGGGGGTAATCCTTCCACATTAGTATAGCAAGGCTATTTACAGCTTTGCCCTTAACCTTCACTTCCTGTTTGCATGGTGCCCAAAGGTTAGTCAAAGGTGAAAGCTCAAGGTCTTTTCAGAACATGTGTCTAGACCCAAGGATGCATACAGACTCCCAAGATTCTCTAATTTGTGGAGGAACTTTAAAAAGCCCCTTTCCCCTCAAGTATCTAATATTTAAGCTTCTTTATCATCCAGGTTTTTTGGTCTGTTTGACTGTAATCCCTGTAACAACCTGCTGTTGTCCCTTACCCCTCAACACTGTGACTAATTTATTTGCCTTTAAATACTTTTGACAAATGCCACTGAAGGGAATGGCTTCTGTCCGGGGGAAACTCTGAGACAGGCAAAACAAAGGCAAGCCCTTGAGTCCATCCTTCAGGGAACCATGAGATAGATCAGAACACACAGTCACAAATTTTTGAGAATAAAGTCCATGTTGCTCCCTTTGGCACTAGCAACCTGTGCTAGGAATGTATGAGCCACTGCTCATCTGCAGAGTAGAGGATGGCAAATGGGTAAATTAATTTTCTTTAAAAGTTCCTCTGATGGTTGTAAGCTTTTTATTAGGTCCCAGAGTTCTGAAAAGGTTGATTTTGACAGTTTTGGTCAGTTTGTTACTGTTGTAGAGGGATAGACTTTTGGAGTTCCCTTCTTTATCATGTTGGTGATGTCACACCTAACAGCATCTTTAAAGTGTGCTAACAGACCTTGCTCTATTCCAAGACCAGAATGTGGCTTTACCATAAACTGTCTTTCTTTATCTTGTTTAATGGTTTTTAGGTTTAAGTTTACTTTGGTATCAGGATTGCAACCTGTATTTTCTTAATGGAAATTGCTTCCTCACTTGTTTTAATCTTAGCCCTACAGTTACATGAAATGCTTGCCTTTAATCCTTTTGCCAGAACTTTCCAGTCTTTTGTTGTGATGAAGCTTATTCTTTAGTCCAGTAGGGAGTTGGCCAAGCTTTGCTGTAGAGGACCAGAGAATAAATTCTAAATTTTCTGAGCCAGCTAGCTTTTGCTGCAGTTACACAACTGCCATTGCAGCGGACAGTAGTCATAGATAATACAGAAACAAGGGCGCATAGATTTTAATTTTTTTTTTTTAAAGATTTTATTTATTTATTTGACAGAGAGAGAGAGAGATCACAAGTAGGCAGAGAGGCAGGCAGAGAGAGGAGGAAGCAGGCTCACCGCTGGGCAGAGAGAGGAGGAAGCAGGCTCACCGCTGAGCAGAGAGCCCGATGTGGGGCTTGATCCCAGGACCCTGAGATCATGACCCGAGCCGAAGGCAGAGGCTTAACCCACTGAGCCACCCAGGTGCCCCGGTTTTAATTAAATTCTATTTATGCAAGCAGAGGTTTGACTGGATTTGGCCCATGGACCATAGTTTACTGACCCCTGCTCTTCTGTATTTCTCAAGGAGGATGTATGTGTACAGTATTCTCTGAGTTTTAACACATTCACAGTTGTTTCCAATGGGTTTGATACATGAACTCCTTAGATCAGTATACTATTTTTTGTTTTTACTTTCTTTCTTTAACTTTCTTAAATATGTTGGTCTGTTGTTGCCTTGCTTTATATGTTGCTTAAGAGAAATCAGATGGCAACCTAGTTCTTTTCTCTAGAAATGCCAAAGATGGGGGTCCATGTTGTTTTATTTTCTTTATTAAGGTTTCATAGGAAGATGAGGGGGAGATTTGGAATCAAGAGATTGCCAGTGTTCTCCAAGCCTGGAAGTCCTCAGTATGACATTTTTAAAATTAATTTTTCCTTCCATCTGTATTTTACTGTTTAAAGAAAAGATAATGAAAAAAATTAGAGTGCATTACCTTTCATGTGATATTTTCCATCATTACAGCTATTAATTTTTTAACTTAAACAGTGATATACAGATGTGAAAAGGTATTTGTTTGTTTGGTTTAAGGTAACATGAAGAGTTATCAATTATCCCAAAATTTTTCTTGGACACTTACTATATATTGGTTCCTACTTGTGTGGAGGTGACATGGCCTTTGCTCTGGTTAGTTGTAAGAGTTACTTATCTGTTCTAGATCTAATTCTTTTATGTGATAAATGATTTGCAAAGCTTTTCTCCCATGCTGTATATTCTTTTTTTACTTTCTGAATGGTGTCCTTTGATGTGTAATTTTATTGAAGTCTAATCTATTTATTTTTTCTTTTGTTGATCATGCATGTAGTGTTACATGTAAGGTGTTACCTAACTCATAGTCATGAAGAATTTCTCTTATATTTTTTCTTAAGAGTTTAATAGCTTTATGTCTTATGTTAAGGTCTATGACCAGTTTTGAATAATTTTTGTGTATGAGGATGTAAAGGAGTCCAGCTTCATCCTTTTGAACATAGCTGTCCAGTCATCCCAGCATCGCTTATTGAAAAGGCTGTTTTTCCCAACGAATTGTCTCGGCATCCTTGTTGAAAATCAATTGATTGTAGGTGTATGGATTTATTTCTGAACTCTAAGTTTTATTCTGCTGATCTATGTGGCTGTCCTTATGCTAGTAGTACACAGTTACTATAGCTTTGTAATAAGTTTTGAAATCAGAAGGTAGGAGTCCTTCAACTTTTTTCTTCTTTTTCAAGATTGAATCTGGGTCCCTTGAATTTCTATATGACTCTTAGAATTTGTCAATTTCTGCAAAGAAACTAGCTGAGATTTGGTAGAAGTGCTTTGAATCTGTAAATTATTTGGGGTAGTATTTCTATTTTAGCAGTATTTAAGATATTGCTAAACATGGGATATTTTTCCATTCTTTCAATTTCTTTTAGCGGTGTTTCGTAGTTTTCAGAGTGTGTGTTTTCCACTTCCTTTGTTACATTTATTCCTGAGTATGTTACTCCTTTTGGTGTTATGGTAAATGAGGTTTTTTTGTTTTGTTTTGTTTTTTTAGAATGCTTATTGCTAGTGTATAGAAATTGATTATCCTGCAATCCTGCCAAATTCTTTATTAGTTCTAATAGTTCTATAGTGAATTCCTTAAGGTTCTCCATATATAAGGTCATATTATATGCAAATTGGGATAGTTTTCTTTCTTTTCAATCTAGATGTCTTCTATTTCTTCTTCTTGTCTAATTGCCCTGGCTATAACCTCCAGTATGATGTTGAATAGAATTGGCAAGAGGAGACCCTTGTTATTTTAGAGGGAAAGTATTCAGTCTTTCACCATTAAATATGATACTATCTGTGGGGTTTTTATATGTGATCTTTATCACATTGAAGAAGTTGTTTTCTTTTTCTAGTTTGTTGAGTGTTTTTGTTGTGAACAAACCTGGAATTTTGTCAAATATTCTTTCTGCATCTATTGTGTAAGCAGATTGTATGACTTTTCTTTTTTATATTATTGGTATGATATATCATGTTAATTGATATTTGGGTGTTAAACCAACCTTTTATTCCTGGAATAAGTCCCTCTTAGTCCTAGTGTGTAATCCCTTTTATATATTATGGATTTATATATTTATGGATTTTTTTATATATATATATATAATATATATAAAATATATTTTATATATTTTATGTATTTTTTTTATTGAGGATTTTTATATTTGTATTCATAAGAGAGAATGGTTTTCATTTTTGCAATGTTCTTGTCTGGTTTGGGTATCAGGGTAAATGGAGTTGAGAACCTTTTTCTTCTATGGTATATTTTAGAAGAGTTTGGAAGAGTTGGTATATTTTAGAATAATTGATGTTAATTTTTTAAATGGTTGCTAGAATTCTGTGGTGAAGCCATCTGGGCTTGGACATTTTCTTGTGGGAAATTTTAAATTACTAATTTAGTCTTCTTTACTTATTGTAGATCTTTTCAGATTTTCTGTTTCTGTTTTATTCTGTTTTGGCAGACTGTCTTTTTAAGAATTTTTCCATTTTATTTAAGTGATATAATTTGACATATGTTATTCATAGTATTCTTATGATCCTTTTTATTTCTATAACTTCCATAGTAATGGCCCCTCGTATTTTTGATTTTGGTAATTGGAAAGCTCCCCCCTTTTTTTTTGGTTTAGTGAAAGGCTTTTCAATTTTGTGATGTTTTAAAAAAATTTTTTTTTGGTTTTGCTAGCATTATTTTGTTGTTTTTCTATTCTTAATTTTTCCTATGTTCTTTATTATTTCCTTTATTCTACTTGCTTTGGGTTTGTGTACGCTTCTTTAAAGGAATGTTTTTAATGTATCTTAAGACATTTGCTTAAGAGACAGACAACCTGATCTGATTTTAAATTTTTATTTCACTTGTTATCTTTGTTATTTGGGATAAATTAGTTTAAAAAATTAATATGTAAAGTGAAGATAATATATATCCCCCTTTTAGCTTTGAAAGTTAAATGAGATAAGTATTTAAAGGGCTGAGATAGGCCTCACAATTAGTAAATGCTTAATAAATGACAACAGTTAGTAGTTACTATTCCACTTGGGAATTTGCATGCATCCTTATCTTAGCAATATATTCTCACAAATATAGAAAGAAAATTTTGTAACTCCGAGTGATCAAAAATTTTTGATTAATCAAATCTGAAAAGATTTTTAGATCACCAAAGTCTCTTCCTGTGAATGTCATAGGCTTTGTACCTGTATTTTATTTAAAAAAAGACTTGAAAAAAGTTTAAAGAAATGATTATTTTTAAATACATGTTTGGTAAATAAATTAATTAAAAATTGATACAGCTGTAGGCTGGATAACCACTCTGTTTATTTCACCAGTGTTGACTGGTTAAATTGACCATTTACCTATTTAGTAGATCATCAGTCTTTGCTATATATGTGTGCATTCAGATTCTGGCAATTAACCGTGGAGAAAATTTGAAGATACTGACTGTCAAAGTCAACATTTCTGATGGAATAAAGAATGAATTCTGCAGGTGGTGCATCCAAAACAGGTCTGTTTATAGAGGTTTACAGAATTTTCCGTCTTCCATTTCTAACATACCATACTGAGATATATATGTACTGATACGGGAAATTGTCCATTCTGTTAAACAAATAGATACTGACAGACAATGGATATGTGTCCTTTTTACATTAAAAAAGTAGAAATGTTGTGTATGTTTAAATAGGAAACAGGATATATTAAATATTAAAATAAATTATTAATAGTGGTTATCTCTTGGGAAAGGGACTTTTACATTAATACTTTTTTGTACCATTCGAACCTTATACAGAGTGTTTTCTCTTATGAAAAGCTAAATTAACAAAAACATAGTGCATATGGCATATCTGTAATCTTTAAGGATAATTGAAACAATATAATTTATTAGATATGACAATATAAGTCTCTAAACATAGATGCAATTTACTTAAAAAGTTTTGTACATTAAGGATGATTGAAACAAACATTAAGTTTATTGGATATTTCAGAGAATTGTCCAAACATATAACTCTTTATTATCCTTTTCATTTGCTAAGGGAACATTTTAAAATAGCACTACAGATTTGTATAGAACTCCTAACTTTTAGTTTTAACTTTTCAGAGTGTATTTGATCCTTACAATAATCTGTTCAGTGAGGAGAGCAGATTTGTAGCTGCCATTTGACCAATGAGAAAATTGATGCAAAGGTAAAAAAGCTTGCCTAGAAGTTAGGACGTGTAGATTTGGGGTATGCCCCTCACAAGCTAGTTCTGTGTAACCTTAATTTAGGGAGATTGCTGGGAAAGCTCTCTGAAGAGGTAGATGAATTTTTCTTTGGTAGGAACAAGTGCTATATTTTTTGGAAGTTAGCTCTCTTGTCCAATATCGTTCTTTCATCAATTGATTGGAAACCAGTTTGCCAAAACCCAATTCCATGAAGGATCAGCTTGTTTAATGACCAAATTATGCTAACCAAGGACCCATCAAGTGAAACAACTATGTCAATATTAGTCAGTACATAAATTGTATAAGCCATATAAACCAATTATGTTATATCCATTCAGTGGAATTCTATGCAGCCATCTTAAGAAAGTTGAGATAGAGCTAAAATTGAGATATAAATATGTCTTATTAAGTTAAAAGACGGTTTATAATTAGTATTTATAGAATGGTCTCGTTAATGGCAAAAAATAGGTCTATATGTATGTGTAAGAAAATTTTTGAAAAAATAGAGATGATCTATTTCATAGCTCTTGTGTGAGATTTTAATTTTCTTTTGTATAGTCCCCTGTAGAGTTTTCTTTAAATGAATGCTTATTTCTTGTGTAAACAAACAAATTTCATTAAAAATAAAAGGAAATAAATACCTAAAAGAAATTATAGATTTAAACAATTGTATAAAGAAATTAGATAATTTTAATTTAAAATATGATGAAGTTCCAAGAGAGTTTCATAAAAAGAACAAAATCCTAGAAATGGATATATCTAAGTTTGAATTCCAGTTATATGACTTCTTATTCTTGTGACTATGAGCACATTACTTAATTTCTTTCAGTTTCCTTATTGTCAAAGTGATGAGTAATACCTTTTCACAGATTCAAGAGAATTAAATGCTATTCCATGTAATTGTGTAGCCTTCAGTGGTATCTTATTACTACAAAGTAGTGGGATTGCTGTATAAAACTCCTTTTTAGAAATGGCCTTTGTAAATAGATCACAGTAAATTGGAGACAATTTCTCATTTTCCTATGAATGTTCATAATACACAGTATCAGAGTCTGTAGTTAAGGCACTTATTATTTAGGCTTTAAACTGTTACCTTCACACTAAATAAATGTTAAGGAATGATTTCCTTGGAGAGATATAAATGGTTTTTCTTGGCTCATCTATATTTTATTTCATTCAGTTCTCCTCCAATTGAATCGTTAATATTATGTGACTTATGCTATACATTCCTGAATATAGTGATACAAGTTTCAGTTACATTCTAGAAGTTTCTCTTCATATAGATAATTGAAGAAACTCTTCTATGAGAACTAAAGAACTACAACAAGAGCCAGCTAAAATACTTCTGGGAACCAAAGAACCATTCTCAAGGAATTGTTTTAATTTTTTTAAACACATTTGAATGACTGGAGATACTCAAATCTTTTCTTCTTCCTCCTCCTCTTTTTTGTTTTACTCTCTTTGTCCCTACTTCTTCCACCTTCCACCTTTCTCATGTATTCATTTATTCAGGTTTATGCTAGATGCTGGAGATTCACCTATAAATCAGACAGATATGTTGCTTGTCCTTGGTGACAATGTAGTTTAATGGAAAAGAGCCTGAGCAAATAGTTAAAGAGTATTATAAAGGGGAAATGCCGTGTTTCATGAGTTTTTAACAGGGAGCCCTAATGTAGTCTGGGTTTTGTGCATGTGTAGGTCAGAGACAGAAGGAGATGAACAGGAAGCAATAAGAAATGAGGATTGACTTGTAGGCATTGATCAGATCATACTTAATTTTCTAGACAGGGCAAGGATTTTATTCTTAAGAGTAATGAAAAGCCAGTAAAGGGTTTAAACAGAGGATTGTCATGATCAGTTTGTATTTTAAGATCACTCTGGTTGCAGTATAGGGAATTATTTGGAAGGAACCCAGAGTAGATGTGGGGGCAGGAGCTAGGTTTGTGAAAAACTATTGAAGCTTCCAGAGGGATTGGGCAAACAATATTAAGGATTTCTGTGTTTCTCCTACTAGCAATGGGGGAACCTAAGTTTGGTCTTCAAGGGCATGACCCCCAGCAGATATCCAACACATACATTTAAAAAAATCACTCCAGGGGCGCCTGGATGGCTCATTGGGTTAAGCCTCTGCCTTTGGCTCAGGTCCTGGGATCGAGCAGAGAGCCTGCTTCCCCCCACCACCCCCACCCCCCCGCCGCCTGCCTCTCTGCCTACTTGTGATCTCTGTCAAATAAATAAATAAAATCTTAAAAAAAAGGGTCTTCTGGCCTCTAAGGATTATCTTCCAGGCATATTGTCCCATGACCCAGGACTGTGTTCTCTCCTAACTTGCCAAGCTCCATACCATGCTGTATAAGACCTTTAATGATCTGGCCACTTCCATATTTTCTAGCCCCATCTTCCTCCCACCTGATCCTGACAGTTATACTCTAGCAGTACTAATCTTCTTGAAAGGACTCATTATGTTCTTTCATGCCGGTATGCTTTTCCATGTGCTATGGTTTCTTACCGGTACGCTTTTTTTCTGGGTCTTGTTCGGTAAAGCACAGTTCATTTTTTAAAACCCATCTCACATATTTCTTCTGGGACGTCTTTCATGACATTGGGTTCTCCAAATTAATAATAATAACAGCAATAACAGTAACAACAGTAGTATTAATTGTAATGTTAATAATGGATGTCTGAATCATCTACTCCTTCCTAACCATCATGCTTTCGGGAGAAGGTGACAGTAGGGAGTAACAGAGATTTGAGTGGAAGGATGTATGTCCTGAAAGCACTTTCATTCAAATTTAAAAAACTGTTCTACTCAGATAATAACCTTCTGTGGCAAGGATTCAATTAGGTGTTACTATGAAACATTGCTTAAATGTTTGTCCACTGAAACTTAGTTTATTTCCTACCCAAAATAAGTAAGAGAGATGAGAGTGTCCCAAGGGTATATTAATGGTTTATTTTATTGTGATTTATAAAATAGATATTTTATTAATGGTTTCTCAAGGGTCGTTGAAGGGCAAGGGCAGAGATGCTATAGATGGATGGAAACATGGAAGGGCTTGAGCTAAATTTGTCCTTTTTAGCTTGTGTTTTTCTTACTGTTCTTTATCCAGTGCCCACTACCATTCAGTTCTCCGACATTTATATCCATCGGCATGCATTCAGATTTATATCCATCGGCAACGCATTCAGATGCGTTATAGAGCACTGTAGCCTGAGAAGTAGAATGAGTTCTGCTAAGGAATGGCAAGAGGCAAGGGTTAAAATAGAGTTCCTCCTTTGCTCAGTTTGCTTTAATTCAGGAAGAGATCAAGGAATAGGCAAGAAGGTTACATGTTGTCTTAGCTTTGCTGTCATAACAAAATACCATAGACTGAGCAGCTTAAACAACAGAAATTTATTAACTCCTAGTTCTGGAGGTCGTAAAGTCCAAGGTCAAGATACATGCTGATTTGGTTCCTGGTGAGAACCCTTTTCTTGGTGTGCGGACTGCTGCCTTCTCACTGTGTCCTCACCCCACTGGCAGAGAGGGGGATAGAGAGAGGGTAGGGTCTCTGATTTTTTCTTCTAAGGGCACTAATCCCATCATGATGGCCCTGTCAGGATACCTCTAATCCTAATTATCTCCCAAAGGCCCCATCTCCAAATATAATGTCATTGGGGGTTGGGGCTTCAACATACTAATTTTAGGGGATGTAATTTAGTTAATAGCAGTGCGTTTGTTGTTTTCTGGTGACTTTCTTATGTCTTAAGATTTTCACCATTAATAATAATGGTCTGGAGACTTTTCCCAGAAGAAGAAAGGTTTTTCCTCCCTTACGTTTTCTATGTGACTGTGGTTACCAGGTTTTTAAAAATAAGAACTCCAGATGTCATAGTAATAATTTCCAGACATTACAGTCTTTCCTCACAGATTATGTTACTTTGGCTTCAGTAAAGTTTTTCCCCCTTTTCTGTTCCACTTCCTCTCCCCTCTTCCAGGAGTCCTTTCATGCTCTTATTATTACTACATGGGTTTTAGTGTAGGCTTTTCTTTTTTGCAGGTGGAGACCACGTGGCTTTGCAAGGCCAGAGTTAATGAAGATCTTACACAATTCACTCGATGATTCTTTCAGACGCCTTATTTATCCTCTCCTCTGTAGAGAGTTCAGGTACGTATCTTGTCATAGTTAATTTTAGGCACTGTTTATTATTATTTATGGTAATAGACCCGTTAAAGCCTGATGTAAATATTCATTGACCCACTAACCCATCCAAAGAACTGAGTCAGGATCACAAAGCAATTATATAGTTAAGCCTAGAGTTCAGTCTGTAGAGGCATTCACATGTATAAACCACAAAACAGAGGTCTTAATTACAGTGTACTTTTCAAATCTTGACCAGTTAATGTGTACCCCTTCCAGTCCTATAGTACCAGTTTTGCAGATTGACAGCCAGGACAAACAAATGGTTTTATTGATGAGAGGTTTAGCTTGGGGTAATAAACTAAGAAGTTAATGGAGAATTTAGTTGGAAGCAGTTTTTGGAGGTAAGAGAACCAAAACAGCATGAGAAATTCATCATGTGCTCAGTGGGTCACATGACAAATTTATTACTATGAATTTATTCCTAGGAAGAGAGAAAGCTAATATATGTTTCTAATTCTAAGTGGGAGTTATGTGGGTGAATAACTATCAGCAGCAATGAGCACATATTAGAGGAGATGATTAAAGCGACCATCTAGGGGCGCCTGGGTGGCTCAGTGGGTTAAAGCCTCTGCCTTCTGCTCAGGTCATGATCCCAGGGTCCTAGGATCAAGCCCCGCATCAGGCTCTCTGCTCCGCAGGGAGCCTGCTTCCTCCTCTCTCTCTCTCTGCCTGCCTCTCTGCCTACTTATGATCTCTGTCAAATAAATAAATAAAATCTTAAAAAAAAAAAGTGACCATCCAAATGGACTATTGGAAGGATTAAGAGTTACAAAGAAGAACTGCAAAAGAGCTGAGGGGCAGATTGTGGGTTTTTGTAGGGTAAGAGATGGAAAGAAGTTTGAGGAGGCAAAAACCCTCTTTCCTGCTTATCTCTAGCCTTTGTCTTTGTAGTCAATCTTCAAACTAGCCATTCCCTGATATATTCCTTTCTATGTGTTACAGACTTTCTTCATTTTCTCTTATACAGATTTTAGCAAGGGTTACTTGAAAACTCTAGATTTCTAGCCATCTCTTCAAGCCTATGAGAATCGATAGCAGCTTTTAGAATGTTTGCCTATTTTTCTTTTACTGGACTTGGCCATTGACTTTGGAGGTGTTGACAACAGGGACTGAGGAGGTACTATAAAAAAAACACAAAGCTTCTTTGACAGGCTTCTTTTTATCAAAGTCATTCATTCTCTTGATTCATCCTTCATAGTTCAGTTGTCCCTTAACAATATTGTTTCTCTTCAAATCCTGTTTCGTTTCAAGTCTGCGTGAGGTAACATCTCTTGCTTTTGAGTGCTGGGGCATAAAATTTAAAAATAAGGGGTTTTGTTCATAAGGAAAAAGAGAAGGTTACCTTATTCAAAATTTTGTTTCCTCTTGTTTTTCTTTATCTTGGTTTTTCGTGGAGCATATAATGTCCAGTGGTGCTTTTTCCCCCCCCAGTGGTGCTTTTGACAGTTTTGCATACATTCGACTTGAGGAGCTTCACTGCCTCTGGAATGACTTCATTGTGATTTGATGTAAGCGATTTGGTGTGGGACTGTTTAATGTTTAATCCATCTTTGACTTTTTTTAGCAGTGAGCAAACAAGAGCACTTCTCTTCTCTTTTTCTAAAATGCCTTTAGTTAAAACAATATATCTTATTTTAGTCTGTAAGTCAGTTTGCAGATGTTATCTACAGATGTGCCTCTTGATAGAAATACTTGTAATTACCTAAACAGCAGTTGAGGGAGAAAACTCCCAGTTGATTTTTCTTTAAAGAAAATTACTTCGATTCTCTAATTAAAAAGAAATTTGTCCTAATGTAGAAAAATTGAAAGAATCAGTAAAACACTAAGGAAAAAAACCCACAAAATTTCACTTCCTAAAGATAATCACTGTTAACCAGACCTTTCTCCATTCATGTGTGAGTACTTAGAACAACCATACAGACTCTATTATTTTGCAGACATTTGATTCAGTTGACTATACACTATGCAGTCTACTTTGGATTTCTTATTTCTGTAACAAGATGATTCATCCTTGTGTTGTTTTTCACAGCTACCTCTTTCATCAAATCTGTGTTGTCAGTTACCAAGTGCTGCCTATTTTCCCATCCTTTATTATACCTTGAATTTTGCCGCTTTTTGGTGTCTGTGGTTACTGTTTTAGTTCAGGGTATGATAATTTCTTTTCTGGATTACTGTTCTAGCGTCACAGATGATCTCTGTCTTGTTTTGCCATACTACACCTTTCACATCGCCATCCTTAAACTCCCGTCTGATTATTTCATACTCTTCTACTTAAAATTCTCCAGTGGCTCTTTGTCTTTAGAATTAAATCAAAGCTCTTTAGAAGACCATGCATAGCCTTTTGTGGTCTGATTTCATTTTGGCTCTACAGCCTTATGTCTTGGTATTTCTTTTTACTTTAGCATATGAAATTACTTGCTTTTTCTATAATGAGTCACGAGTTGTTAATGTATGGTTCTTCCATTGCCTGCAACATTTTCTCTATGCCTTCATTCTATTCTCCCTGCTTTTGTTGGCTTAACTCTTGCTTACTCTTCTTGATTCACCTGAGTAGACGTCTCTTTTAGAGAGTTTTGTGGTTTAATGTCCTTCCCATATGTTCTCATTAGCATCGCACTTAACCATTGTTTATACTTACCTGATTATTTTGCTGTTTCTTCCACTCTGCAATCATGTTCAGAGTAGGGATCTTGTCTTCAGCTTTGTATCTCACACTGATCAGGGTACTTTATATAAGACTGACAGCAAACATTTGCTTTATAAATAAAGTTAAAAGTGAAGATTCAGAAATACCTATCATGATATTTTTCATGTTGCTTGGCTGAATGTGGGAGAATGAAGTGAAAAGATGAGAGGAAGCCTTAAGAAACTGACTCAAACACAAAAAGCAGACTTTAGTTAGCTGTGTGTGCCTTCAGATATATAGATAATTCTACCCCAGCACTGATATGAAATGTACTTTGAATGGCTTTTGTACTGTCGGTTTTCTTCTGACCATGGCGTAAATGTCTTTACCTGTTCTAAGGGAGAAGACATACTTTTTTATGTCTTCTTATAAAATCACAAGAATTTCAGGAGATAATATGTTAAGAGCTTTTGTTAAGAAGATGAATGGTGTTAAGGGGCACCTGACTGGCTCAGTCAGAAAAGTGTGTGACTCTTAATCTCTGGGTCTTGAGTTCGAGCACCACATTGTGTGGTGTGTGTGTGGATTACTTAAATAAATAAATACTTTAAAAAAAAGTGAATGGTGTTACAATTTAGTTTTTAAATGCCTTTAATTCCTTTATAGACATATATTTTTATCCTAAAAAAAGTTTTAAAATTAGAATTCTAATAACTTCTCTGGAGAAAACCTGGGAAATTGTATGCATGAGGCATGGTTCTGGACTGATTACTAATATCCTTGGTCATGTCACATCTCTGTGACAATGACAAGGTGGGGGCTCAATGTGGAGAACTGAACAGAGTAAGAAGATGACATTGTGATTTGTATAGGTAAAAGTGTAAAGCTAAGTACTGATGGAAGAGACTACTTAGGATTCAATACTTTATCACTAATCTTGTGTTTATATTTTTAATCACCTAATAAACTTTAACTTGACTTGATATATGATGTCCAGGTCTTTATATACTCTGTTTCTCTCACATACACAGATATTTATACATATAGATTTCGTATATAAAAGGGCAGATAGAAAAGGAATATAGGTATGACACACTGAGATTTGCTTCAGAATTGTTTGTGGTTTCATGTATTATTGCAGTTAGCAAAAATAGACTCAGTATAATTTTATATATGATCTTTTCTCCTTTATTTTGTTATAAAAGTTACTCCTATGAGGAATAAGTGTACGGAAAGAATTCTGTTCTTTGCAGGAAGAAACTTGAGGTGAATGAAAAAAACTGAATACTTTCTCTTTTTCCTTTTATTTTTTGGTTTCTAAAGAGCCAAACTAACATCAGATGCAGAGAAGGAATCAGTAATGATGTTTGGACGGAACCTTCGTCAGCTGCTTTTAACAAGCCCTGTTCCAGGGCGCACCTTGATGGGAGTGGATCCTGGTTACAAACATGGTTGCAAATTGGCTATAATTTCTCCTACCAGTAAGTACATCTTTCAGCTCTTCAATGAAAAGTTGTTTGGTTGGTCCTAAGTTTCACATCATACATACTGTGAGGATTTGAAATAATGTTAATTTTTGAGGCTCCGAAAATGGTTTTCTCACACACGGTAGTGTGGGAACTAGAAAATCAAATTTCATGTTTGTCTTATTTGTTGGTCAAAAATCTCAACATGTTACTATCATTTATACCGTGCCTTTCCCTGTGTCACAGTGGAGATGTTGAAGATTAACTAGGCTCAAGCTTGAAAAACTATTCCCCATCAACTTCTATTTATTATAGTGTATTATATATGATGCATTTTAACTCTGTGTATTTTAACTACCAGACATTTTTGTTTTGCCCAGCATTTTTCCCCTTATTTACTATCTACCCTTTCTATTGCCCTTCATTTCTTGCTGCATTTCTGTGTCTACATTTGAGATTATTTTCTCTGCTTGACCCTCTAACCTGTTACATTTAATATGGGGTCAGCTGGTGAGAAATTGTGTTAGTTTTTGCCTAAAATGTTTCTGATTTGCCCTCATTTATGAAGGATATTTTTGCTGGGTATAGAATTCATGACTGGCAGTTATTTTCAGTACTTTATAGGTGTCATTTCATTTTTTGTTTGTGTTCTTTCCCCCTCTGGCTACTACACATTTTGTTGAGAATGAGAACTCAAACAAAAACCTTATTATTGCTCTTTTGAAGGTAATGATTTCTTTTTTCCTAAGACTGCTAAGATTTTCTGTTGTGGTTTTCAGAGGTTTTCTTATGATGTGCTTAGCTCTGTGTGTGGTTGTGTGTTTTGTGTGTGTATGTGTTGTGTGTTTGGTTTTCTGAGGTTTTTTTTGAATTCTGCTTGGGATTTGTAGAGCTTCTTGGTATTTCTTTCTGGAATTCCAATTACATATATATTAGACCTTTCAATTTCCTGTTTTTCTGTTTTTCATTCTTTTCTGTTTTATACTGTTTGTCTTTATATTAATTAAGCCTCTATTCTGCTATGTCTGATCTGCAATTAAAGCTATCCATTGAGTTCCTTATCTAAATTATGGTGTTTTCAAGTTTTTGAATTTCCATTTGGTACCTACAAAAAATAGATTTCTGTTCTCTAATGAACTTTATCACTTTCAGGTTTTTTGAGCTTTTGTATTTTCCTTATTTTTACCTTAAAGTTCTCTTATTATTTATATATTGTTATATTATGGACTATTACTATATGTTATGTATTACATATATATTATATACAATAATAAATATTATTACATTTATTTGTTCGTTGTTTCTTTTGGTTTAGATTTTTCTTTCTGAAATAACTTTGATTTTTTTTAAATGATTTATTTATTTGAAAGAGAGAGGGAGCATGAGAAAGAGCACAAGCTTGGAGTAGGGGCAGAGGGAGAGAGAGAAGCAGGCTTCCCACAGAGCGGGGAGGCTGACAGGGGACTCGATCCCAGGACCCTGGGATCATGACCTGGGCTGAAGGCAGATGCTTAACTGACTGAGCCACCTAGGTGCTCCTGAAATAACTTTCATGTCTAATTCAGTTTTGAGTTCTCACATGTTATTTCTGGGGTTTTCTAATTCTGATTTATGTTATTCTCATTTTCTTTCTTTTTTTTTTTTTTTTGGTAGCTCATTCTTTAAATTACAATTTTTCTCTGCGTTTTGTGAACACATCTTTCTGTAAGGACATACTAGTCTTTGTTTTTAACTTACTGTTTTAAAAAAAATAGTCATTCTATATGGAATTTGACCGTCATCCTTTTCTGTTGCTTAGGTTTACGTAAAATTCATTTTCCCCAGCTTTTAGGGTAGAAGACCAGGTCAGGAAAGATTTTTTAGCTGTATATCTCTAGAACTGTCCCTTCTTTTTTCCCCAAATTACTGGTGTTGGGGGGAAAGCACTGTAGTATCTCTATGAATAAAGAGATAGCCTTCTACTTTCTTGAATCTGTTTTCCTGATGCTTTCTCTATTTTACCTGGACTTTTTTCTCCTTTGACCATTTTATCCTTATCTTACTCAGGGGGGATATGATTTCCAACAGTTTCTCAGTTGGGGTTTTTGTCTTGAAAAGGATATTCTGCCTGGGTTTCACGAGTTCATAGAGACCAAAGTTTCCAATCCTTCCAAAACTCAATGGGCAGACTTTCTACTGACTTATAAATTGTAGTATGCAGAGGTCTTTCCCAAACTACAGGGAAGTACCTTTTGATATTTTCTGGTCAATGAGATACTTCATTGCTTGTCTCTTCTTGCTCCCACAAAAGTACCAGTGCATGTAGGTCTTGGTAGTTGCATTGTTCCCACTTGATCATCTTTTGAGTTTTGTGGAATACTTTGCTACAGATAGCCTTGGGTTTTTGGTTTTGCTGTCCTAGTTGCTCTTTTTTTATTATGCTATACATTTTTACAGTAAATGGGAAGCATATTTTACCAATGTCTTTTCCTGCATCTCTTGAGATACCATACGTGTTCGTATTTGGATCTGATATTATTTATATTACTTACAGGATGACTTTTTAAAAATACTGTATGCACTCCCACATATATATGTATGTATCTTCAATCTGTTTGGTATGACATTTCCAAGAATTTATCTATTCCAACATTTAAATTAACATGAAATTGTTCATAATAGTCTTTATATCTTTTTTAAATTTTATTATTTTTTTGTCTTTATATCTTTTTAATCTGTGCTGAAGCTCTAGTTGTATCCTCTTTTCATTTCTAATATGATTTATTTCTATCTTTTTTTAATTTATCTATAACTTCTTTCTTTTTCTTGATTGGTATTGTTAAAAGTATACGTTTTTCTTAAGTGATTTTTAACTTTAAACTTTACCAGTCCTCTTCATTACATATATATTTTTCTATTTTGTTAATTTCTGCTTTTAACTTCATTAATTCCTTCCTTCTGCTTTCTTTGACATTATTCTCTTGTTCTTTTCATAGCTTCCTAAATTGGTCACTTAGCTCATTATTTCTGTTCTTGAGGTTGTTACCCTCAAATGTTGAATTTATTTTTCACTGAAATATAATATAGAGAAACACCAAAGTCATAAATATGCAGCTTAAGAATTATGCAGGGAAAGAAATGCACGTATCTACAACCCAAAGAAGAAATAGAATAGTATTACAACATTGTCTGGCATTTGGTACATAGTCAGTAAATGTTAGCTCAATGTTATGTGTTATTAAAAACCATTTCTCTTTTAGGTATCATGGCATATAATCTAGTTAATAATGATAAGTAGCAAAGTAGTGTCCTTATAACTTCGGAGGTAACAAAATTTCAGAGTGTTTGGAAGAATCTGATTTAGTGAATATGAATGATTCATCCTGCATTTTTAAGACAAAGGAGTTCCCTTGTCTAGTATAAATTACTTAATCAAATCATCTTTGTGTTGTGTTTTGTGATTTCTTACAAAATGGCTTATTCTTTTCATTTTCTCTAAGGTCAGATACTTCATACCGATGTGGTTTACTTGCATTGTGGACAAGGCTTCCGAGAGGCAGAGAAAATAAAGAGGCTTTTGCTGAATTTCAAGTATGAAAATAAGTAACCTTTTGAGTACTTCACTGGCTCAGCCAATCAGAGATACCTTTGAAGCTCCTAATTTGGAGGGAGGGATTAAGGGAAGTGCCTTGGTGAGAGAGAAGGAATCATGTAAAACAATGCTGGGGCAAATTGCTGGAGAACTCTACATTTGGAGACTCTGGAGGGATGCTTCTCCCTTCCTGTGCCACCTTCACTAAACAAAAGGTGGTAATATGAGCAAAAGTGAGCATTGAATTCTTTTATTTGGGCTTTCTCTCTCTCTCTTTCTCTCTCTCTCTCTCTCACACCCGTTCTTCCTCCCTTCCCTCCCTTCCTCCCTCCCTTCTTTCCTTCCTTTTTTGGATCTGAGGAGTGGATGTGATAGTAGTTTGAAGCTTCAGGGATTATTTGGCACTGTATTACGTAATTCAGTCATGTCTTTATTATGGCATAGAATGCTTCAGAGTTTATTATTTATTTGTAAATTTGGTTCCTTCTAGATGGGAAGAAAGCTGACTGTTCTTGATGGTATGACAGTAAAATACTTCTCTGTTGCCTCCCATAACAAATGTAGGGGCATTGTCCTTTATTCTACAAAAGTCTGTCCCTCCATTGTGAGATTGTGGAGATGTTGCTTGGCTATATGAGAGAATAAGATCATCCTGTGATAGTATTTGTGCATTTTGTGCATTTTCTCCTGATTGACTTAGAAGCATGCCTTGAGCTCATTCCATTTCTCATCTTGTTTATCCCTTGAAGCTGCAGCACAGTGGTGATTGGAAATGGAACTGCCTGCCGGGAAACAGAAGCTTACTTTGCTGACCTGATAATGAAAAATTACTTTGCACCACTGGATGTTGTTTACTGGTAAGGATGTTAGGAATGTTTGTTTTCTTTGAAAGACAAAGGAACTTCTCCAGTTCCTTCTGTGATAAATTCTCTCTTCTCTTTTTATGATATGCATCTTCTTTGCCCACAGACCACCTCTTGCTGTTCACAAGTACTTTGTAGTACGACATAAAGTGTCTGTCTCCTAGAGAAATTTGAGTTTCAGTATCCTGAAAACTCTCACAGAAATAGCAAGCTAGGGCTTACTTGGTTTCATGGGGTTTTCTAGGCTGTACCTTGTGTGAGAGCTCTAGTTAATTATTAACTAGTACATATAACTGTGGATAACTTAGCTTTTTTTTCTTCCAAAGTTCTGAGGCCTATAAATTGTTGGTTTTCAGAACTGACAGCCAAGTGTACGTATTACCAGTTAAAAGCACTTCTGATATTCCTTTCTTGTTCGTGTCTTCATTGCAAGCTTTCATTTTATATAGACATCCAGTTAACTTCTGAATAGCTTTGGATTAGCATGACCCATTTCTGTAGTCCTACCCCTAGATCTGTTGTAGTTCTGCTTTTGTTCACCATCGTTTCCTTACTTTCTCTTTGGACCTCAGGTAGCCAGGGTTATCTTTTTCTTTTCTTTCTTTTCCTTTTTTTTTTTTTTTTTTTTTTTTTAGATTTTATTTTTTTATTCGAGAGAGAGAGAGAGAGAGAGAGAGCACAAGCAGGGGGAGCGGGAGAGGGAGAAGCTGGCTCCCCATTGAGCAGGGAGCAGGACACGGGGCTTGATCCCAGAACCCTGGGATCATGACCCCAGGCAAAGGCAGATGCTTAACCCACTGAGCCACCCAGGTGCCCCCACACTTACCTTTTTCAAGCTATAGTAGAATATTAAGTTCTTAAGGGTTTAATTCTACGACAGAAGACAATTACGATAGCTGATATCTTGGGAAGAGTGCACAAGCACCATCTTCCACTGCTGGAAGTCAGCTGATGAGTATGTGACTAACAGGATCAACAAAAAAAACCCAACACAGGAAGAAGAATCCTAAGATTCTTTTTAGGCCGAAAGAGGAGGGCTTTGTATTTAGTGTAGTGTTCCATATGCCAAGAGGATAATCAAGATGTCAAGAAAACAAATGCAGGGTAACCAAAGGGGTTTAGGAGGTCAGGGACAAGCCGTAGGTACCATAGGGCCGTGGTTCAGCAAAGGACCAGATTGAAAAATCCACCTCAGCTTTTCTTCCCCCGCTCTTCCTCTTCTTGTTCAGGTTGGTCTGGGGAGTACTGTGGATCTTCCCTATTCCAGAAACTGTGCACATGCATCCAGTCCTTTTGAGAACGTGGTACAAGGACCCGATATAGCTGATTCAGTTTATTTCAGGCAAATAAACTTTTTTGTCTGATTTTTTTTAACTTGTTCATGTTAATTTAATATAAATATCTACAAATATTTATCTAATATAAATCTGTAGTACTTATAAATAGAACTTTCGGATCATTAAATTATTAAATGTGCTAGTGTGCTAGTATGATTCGCTATTTTCAATCCTCTGGCGCATAGTAGGCACTCATTTTATTTTTTGAATATCTAAATATTTGTTTCCATTCATGTTAAATTATTATACTTGACTTTTTTTTCTGCTTTTGTCTTGGTTTTTCCTTTTGTAAAAAAAGTAGTGTTTTTGTTTTGTTTTGTTTTGTTTTATAGAAGTGGTAAAATTTATTGAAATGTAGAAATGGCTAGCTCCTTTGAGACATGCTTATGAGCAGTGTATCTAGTTTCTCCCAAACTGAAACCTTCTTAAATCAGGGATCATGTTTTATTTATCTCTGTCTCCTTCCCATTAAACATAACATCTGTACTTATAGGTCCATCTCAACAAATACTTACTAATTTAGATTCTTAAACATTAAGCTTTAAATTATTTTTAACCAGATAAATCTTTTCAAGCTATTGACCAGAATTACAATATGGAACAACTGTAGACAATTTCCCCTCCACTTAATGCTCTGGTAAATCTAGGACTTACTGTTTTCTCTCTTTTTTCATTGATAGAGAAATTTGCATTTGGTAGATTAGAGGCTATATTTTACCCAAGATAAATGATAGTTTCTGAAATAAAAATATTACATGGTTAGAGTTACATATTTATTTAATGAACTGTGAAAGAATTAAAAGAACTCTTTAATATTTGCCATCTTGTATTTCAAACTATGGTTGGCACACTTTATACTGGTAGCGGAAACATTGCTAGAAATTACAGCATTGTGGGCCTTCTGTAGAATTACATGAGACCACATAAAAACCTGGGAGCAGCAAATGTAAAGGAAAATTTTGTGCTGTTAATTCAGACCCTGCACTTCATGCTTCTGTCCTGAAAACTGCAGTATACGGTGAGTTTGAGCAGGCAAATATAGAAAACAGGAGAAAAGAAATTAATTTTGCTTCCCAATGCCCTAGTTCATTAGGATAATGAATCAAGTAACAGAGTGACCTGAGGAGGTGTGATGTGTGATGAGAGAATGAGAAAAGGGAACGGGTGCTGTGAGAGAGGTATGGGGTTGTGGGTTTGAGGTTAGATGTAGACCAGTAGGCTTTGCCATTGAAGCACAAGCGGATGGCTAGATCGTATTAGGAAAAGGGGGTTGGCGCTGGATGTCTGTAAAGTACACACTAGACCTCTCTCTTCTTTTATTCCAAAAGAGTACCAATCATTTAATAGAAAATATAATTTAAGAAATCATAATTTTGTTGCTTGAGATTAGTTGTCTCTTCCAGAGTCTAACTTAATTGAATTGTTTGAGCCTCAAAGGGTTAATTCCTTTGTGAAAAATGCCTAAGAATGAAACTAATGAAAATCTTTTGGTTTAAAATTAAAAGACAAACATTATTTCTTTAAAGGTGTTAATAATACTTATTATTATTGCATATTGGAAAACAAAGACAAGTGATAGGCTTTTCTGTTGGCTCGATTGTTAGTTATATTTGGGAGCATATTTCTAGATTGTGTGTATTATAAAAAAAAGAAACTCACACTGTACATGTTTTACAGCATTTCCCGTACTTACTATATTCCCATGCCAATAGATGGACTTCACAAAGTCGTTTAAAATTACTACGGATAAACTCTTCTATGATCTTGTATTTTAGTCAGTCCTCATTGTGTGACAGCTGGCTTTTTCTAACCGTCACCATTACCCACAAAACTATAATGAATGTTTTTGTGCTTAAATCTTTGCACATACCTTTATTGCCTTCGAATCCGTTCCAAGAAGTGGGCTATAGGTTTAAGAGGTAGCCTTCGAATCCATTCCAAGAAGTGGGCTATAGGTTTAAGAGGTAACTTACCACTGCTCCTGAACTGCAAAGCGCTTAATTACCAAACCCAATCTATTACTGAGATTATTTCAATGCTATTTCTCCCTCTTATGAGCATGTTGGCTAATTTGGGATGTCTTTACTTAAAAATATTTATATTACAAGTGTGTATAAAAGTCCCAATAAAAAGGGAAGAAAATAAAGCACTTTTTAGTGTGAAATAGATCTAAAGAGTACAGAACTTCTATATACAGTTTGAAGAATAAAATGAATGTCCTTGTTCCCAGCTTTTAGGCTTCTTGTGTGTTTTTTCCTTGGAGTGCCTCCACTCCAATGTAATCATTGTACTGGGTTGTATGAATTATTGCTTGTTTGAGAAAATTAATTTTCAAACTGCATATTTGTAGGGCTTTTGGAAGTACATTGCTGTGCTATCTTCCAGAATGACTATGCCAATTAATACTCTTATCTACAGATGTCTCTACTCCCCTTTTTCAGGGACTTTGAGTATTATTACAATGCATGTTTGTTCTATCATTTTTGTTTTAATTGCATATTGATATCCCAACAGCACTGCTTCTTAACTAATTGTGTGATCTTGGACAAATTACCTAACCCTCTGTATTTCAGGTTCATCATCTGTAAAAGGGGATGATAATAGTATCTATTGTAGAGAATTATTGTGGAGGTTAAATGAGTTAATATCTATAAATTGCTTGGAATAGCACTTAGCATATACTTGCTGTTATTATTAATGGAGTCAAATATATTTTTGTATGCTCACTGGCCATTTCTGGACTTCTTTGTGTATCTGTGGTTGGCTTGTATCCTTTGCTCATTTTTTTTCTGTTGGAGGTTTTTGTCTGGTTCATAATGTTTTGTAAATGTTTTTTATATTAATTATTGATCCATTGGTTACAACAAATTTTGCAGATTATGCAAGAAATTCTCTCCATTTTGTGTTTAAATTCAAGCTTTATTTTGTATAGAATGCTAAATTTTATTTTTTAAGGTTTATCTGTCTTTCTTTATGGCTTTTGAGTTTCTTATTATTCTTGAGCCTAGAATATTAGAAAATATATTCGTTTTTGTAGAAAATATGAATCTCTTATATGTCCAAGAATATCAAGGTTTTTTGTTTTCTTTCTTTTTTTTTTTTTTTTAAATGCAGGCTTCCCTCAAGTTTTTATTTCTCTAACTTTTCTTTAAGTCTTCTCACTTTTCTCTGTAAAACCATAAAACCTCATTATCATCTCAGTTACAGTTATGATTGCTTTGAAGCTTTTTTATTCTCCCAAGAAACCAAAAATTAACCGGAGAACCTAAGTCAGCTTAGGTAACAGAAATAGAATAGAAAGCTGTTAATTAGTTTTGAGAGTAGTTTTGAAAAATGAATGGATGCTGATTTTTCCCCTTCTTTCTGAAGGTCTTTATTGCCAGCTGTAGCGTTTTGTAAACAGTAGAGCCACCTGATTTCTTCCCTTTCCACCCTTCCTCTCCTTTTCTCTTTCTCCCTCCTCATCTTTTCTCTCCTTTCCTCCCTCCTTTTTCTTCTTTAATTCTCTTGTTTGGTAGCACCATATTTTAGTTATCTATTGTTTGACAACTGGTTATTTTCGATCTTTGATATATCTTTAGTTTTAAACCTATGGGTACAGACTAATCAGCTGTAATTTCAGTATTTATTTGCAGGCACAGTTAGTATGGGATTTGT